ATTTCCATTCAAGTTAATGCTAAATATCAAACACAATCAAGAACCCTAATGATGCATAATAGGTGACTGTAAATCTTATCCCAATTAAAATGACAACTAACCATCATTAAGCTTTCCTCGTTCTTAAGGCTATTAGGCCTAATTATGGATCTTCCAACATATGTCAGCTCGGCCACAATTATTTTTGATCAGCACAAACTAATAAACACACTAAATCAAAAGACAGGCCTTAAAATGGATGTATACGTCATCCCAATTTATTTGATTTGACGCTACCAACAAATCCATTGAATTAAAACTTGGGCCTTCTAATTAATTTAAGCATCATCCCAAATTGAATTTAATTTGGTTCCCCTGTTAATAAACCCACCAATCAAACATCAAATCCATTGATTAAAAACAGATAAATAAAAAATCCAACATGTGTCTTAGACACGTTTCTTTGAGTCAAGTTAAAACTTGTGAATAATTGATACTCACACCATGCCTTTGAGCTCTTGTTAGTCTTATCCAGCACCTTTGAAGTGCAAGTAACCATAGTTTGTGCCTTTAAGCTACTCATTGGCCCTTTGCAAATAAAAGAGTTGACATTAATATTGAAGTTATGTCTTTCACACACTTGTATATCTACCTATTTTAATGAGGATATCTGAGATGAGATGACTCATGATTGCTAATCAATTTTTTTGGTCATTGCAGCCTACAATCTATTGACATTGTTACATTGGGTCTATTGGTAAACTCAGTCTGATAATCCATGAGTTTGTGATTGAATTTACTCTCATCACCCTACCCAGTCATCATTCAATCAAATTTAATCGTAAACGTTAAATCTATATCCTAAAATTTAGCCTGAGCAACTTCTCTAATCAAGCGTTCATCCTTACAAGCGGGAGGGATAATTGATTATTAGGGCTTGCAATCATAGGAAATCTTGACCTTAGGTCTAAATAAACACTGGCACAACATCAAGGAAAATATATTAAATTACACTTAATCAATCTCATAGCATAATAATTATGAGGCACTCTCTTAAATGTCTAGCAGGCTCACATGGAATGGGTTGAATTTTCTTCAGCAATTAATATATGATTGGAGTGAGTCTGTCATTCAAGCCAATGTTCTTACATGCTAGGACTAAAAGGTCTGAGCATCTGAATGTTATTGGTATCCAATACTTATTAATTAACACATGAATGCTTTGGTAGCTTTTAGCATGTGTGAAATGCACCTGCTAGAATATTCCGTAGAAATAGCTTTATTGAAGTTGCCAGAGTAATGGATGCTTAGAGAAAAAATGCGATTTCATTCTTAGTTTTTTTTAATATTTTCTTTGGAGGAATTGATAGTTTGGAGAATGAATTGAAGCTTCTGGCATAATAATCTTTTGTAGAATCTACCTTTGTATGCTTTCATTCTTATCTCTCCAGTCCCTATTTTCTTCTTGAATTCTGGTCGTTATTTGTTATTTGATCTAATACTTTTGTCTAATTGGTATGCATGTTACATGTTATATATACACACTTGTGTATTTTTATTTCCAACGCAATGTAACATGGTGAAACAAATTCCATTAAAAAAAATGCTTGCCTCTTTGGAAATAAATAGATAAACTCTAAATAGGCCATTCAATATCTTTGAGAATCATGAACCTATGTGTAGTTTCCTAAAGGCAATATGCATTTGTTTATTTAACTATCTCAAGCATGTGCTCGTTTCATTATCTTGAAAGGAAATTGTTGATGGTTCCTTTAATTTTATGTTATATCTATGATGCAAAGTGTATTGACGAATATACAGGCAATATCAAGAAAATTAAGAGACCGGAAGATTGATGGTTTGGGAAGGCTGCCAATAGTATTGAGTAGCAGTCATGTATAGAATGATGATTATTTTTAAAGGGAGAGAGAAGATGAACCCTAGGAAAAGCTTAACCAATCATGGTAAAAAAGGAAGAATAGAGGGAAGGACTAAGGTTAACCAAAATACTTGCAACTTGAAATAATATTACATTTGTAAAATGAGGCTTTTTCTAATGTTAGGTTTTTTTAACCCATTAATTTGTTAGGATTAGTCAAAGATTTCAAAAGATCTATTTAGGTACTAATTAGTTATTTGTTTTTTGAGCTAAAATTAAATTTAAAATTTATGTTGGTATTTTTATATAAAAGTTAGATTTGAATTTGAAATTGCCTCGTCAGACTTCTATAAACATGGGTGCAGCAGTGGTGAGCCATAAACATTTTTTTTTTGGGGGGGGGGGTTGGCGGCACATTGAGAGAAGCGACTGCACATGAAGACAAAAAGTCCTCATACTAATCCTATTAATTTACATTTGCTAATACAAGAGCAACTAAAACCATTATTTTTGCTCTCTCTCTTGTAGCTTTGCTAAAGAAAAAAAAAGAGAGAAGAACATGGATGCTTCTTCTCACAAATTGAATCCATATTCCACCTAAAAAACATTGGCTACATCTGGTTTTTTTAGGGGCAAGTTTAGAGCCTTAGTGGGAATGCCCAAATTGAATTAAAAATGAAAGAATGTCTAAATATTCAAATTGTTTTGGTTAAAAAGTCTAGACAATATGCCAAAGAAACCAAATGAGAAAAAAAAAAATCTTTGAAGTTCTATATTTGAGCAGGAAATAAACAAACAAAAACGGAAGAGTGGAAGATGCCATTACTATTACTAACCTTTAAAATCGACGGTCCTTCCCTTATGTTATTACAACAGGGAGGTTGTGACTTGTAGAGAGCAGGCCGAACGGAACCGCAGACCGGAGCCGAGCTTCGACCTTCGGGTTGAACGTCTACGCGAGGGCTGAAAAAAAATGAATTTTGGAGGGGAGGCACGTGCCCCACTAGCCCCTCCGCTGGGGTGCAGTCCCTATATATATATATATATATATAGGTTTTAGGCTGTGTGAAATCTGATTGTGTCGTTCAATTGGATTGTACTGCTACTTCAGGCCTCAAGTCAATTTCTCGTGCTTACTGGAGGGGCGGGGGATCCTCCCCCTGCTTGGGTTTAGGTGCTTTGTGCCCGAATTTTTTTTTCCCGTGCAATACCCTGGCGCAGTGTAACCTAGCGTCCAAGTGCTACGGATTTGCTAAGAGAAATGACAGTGAGCGGAGCGCCGCAATGCTCTAGGTTCGGGGCTGCAGCGCTGCAGGTTTGGGCGCCACAACATTGTTAGACGGAGCAAAATTAGAGATTTGAGCACCGCACGCTCCAAACTGACGCCGCAGCGTTTCGAGGCGGACTGAACGATTTTCTTTCTTCTTTTTCTCAAGAGTGGTGCCCCTTGGTGTTATTAGCTAGGCTCTCTCTTTTTGTTTTGAGTGTGAGAACGGTGAAAAAGAGAAGAGAAGCAACGAGAGAGCAATAGAGAAGATAGATCTGTACTTATTTCTCCTAATTTTAATAGTGAATTTCTTGGTGTAGTTTGGATCCGTAGTTTTTTTCCCTATTTCGGGGTTTTCTATATTAAATCCTAGACTCCTAGTGTTTTTTTTTTTTCGCTGCTTTTACTTTCTTGTTTGTTTTGTTGCGTGGTTTATTTCTTCCACATCCCCAACAATAGGGGCATGCAAGGTGGTGTGAAGTGCAGTGCATTGATGCTTTATGATTGAGCATTAGCAGTGGGTATCTATAAACTTGATGAAGTACCAGCAGATTGATGTTTTGAAAACTGGGGAAGTTTTAAAACTTTGGCTGGAGAGAAATATTGAACTGAGAAGTATTTTTAAAAGAAGAAAAGGAAGAGGAAATAGAAGGAATCAAGGAAACTTGATGTTTGTGGTGATGGGTATTTTCTTGATGAACTAGAAGTACCACTACACTAGAACATATGGGCAAAATCCATAGGGATATAAATTTTGAGGAACTTTTGAAGCAGATAACTTGCTTGTATTTGTTTCATTTTCTTTTGTCTTCTCTCTTTCGTTAGTTATTTTTTTCTCATTTGCTTTGAGGGACCTGAAGCCTTTTTTTTATTTTATTTGAGAGGGTGCATTTCGGTTTTGAGCAGAGTTGATGGTTTTTCTTGTTTTATACTTTTTTTATGGCTTTTATATAATTGATCGGATCCATTCTATTCTCCTATGGTTGTCCATTTTATTTAAGCTAAGCCACGTAAATCTTGGTGTTTTCTAATGTGATTGTCTTGTTATCCATCATATTCACTCTTGACTAAAGCTTTCACATGAAAATTGGCCCCTTTCCCTATATTTATGTCATCCATTTTTGTTATATGCTCAGTCAAAATACTAATGAGAGCATTTAAGTCACCCACATAAATCTTGGTGTTCACCATACCGTGATTACATTGTTGTTCATCATATTCACCATTGACAAACATTTTCTTATGAAATTCAGTGACTTTCTCAACATTTAAATCACCCAATTTTGCTGTATACTCATTGTCAAAATACTGTTGAGGACTTCTTAGATAAAAACTCATGCAAACCGTTGAAATATATGAATAAGCATTAAAAGGACATAAACTCATTGCAAATAAAGCAAATATCTCTTGAAAGTTTGATCATCATGGTAGTTGGATCTGATTGATGAAGCTTAGAGCACTATCAACAGAAACTTAGTATGACCTTAATAATTTGCACCAGCCCATGTTGCATAATCTGGCAGTAACGTTCTTGTGGACTTGAGTATGTTAAGATGGTGATTATGTTAGGTAGACCAGAGTTATGGTATAAAGGGCGTACTCACTGCATGACGTTCCAACAAATGCAAGGTTTTCGTCTTAATTTGACCTCATTTAGCTTTCCTTGCTAGGGCTTAATGGATGCCGCCATAGCCTCATATTACAAAGAGCTTGTTTACCGTACACTATATTAAGCAATGCTATCAGACATCTAACATGACCAGTTTATTTTTTTAACTTGTTTCACACATTAAATTATTCTGCCCTTGGTTACTGGCTAATAAATTATGCCCTCTCTTTTGAAAACTGAACCATATGGCCTTCTTTGTTGTACAGGATATTGGTGGTTGTGATATTCAGAAACAGGAAATTCGTGAAGCTGTCGAGTTACCCCTTACACATCACGAATTGTACAAGCAAATAGGCATTGACCCACCTAGAGGTGTTCTTCTTTATGGTCCTCCTGGTACTGGGAAGACCATGCTTGCTAAAGCTGTGGCTAATCATACGACTGCTGCTTTTATTAGAGTAGTTGGCTCAGAGTTTGTTCAAAAGTACTTGGGTGAGGTAAGTTCCCAGCTTAGCCTGTCTGCTGTAGTACACTTGGTGAGGTATGTATTGTTTTGTCGTATCATTCTTCAATTGACAACTGGTTGTTTCTATTTCCAGGGACCGAGGATGGTTCGGGATGTATTCCGCCTTGCTAAAGAGAATGCACCTGCAATTATATTTATAGATGAGGTGGATGCCATTGCTACTGCACGTTTTGATGCACAAACTGGAGCAGATAGGGAAGTTCAGCGTATTCTTATGGAGCTCCTGAATCAGGTATACTTTGTACGAAAAATATCTCAATTTTAACAAGTGGCGTGATTCTAATAACTGATTGAATCAAACCTGCAAAATAATACCATCCCAGCAGTTTCGTCATTTGAAAAAAGGCACCTGTTTACTTGGCTTTAAAGATAAAATTGCTATCTACATACTTACCATATGGCCACCAACATCCATCATTTTCTTTTTTGTGTTATTCGAGTGTTTGAATGCTCTTCCCGAAAGGATACTTGACTCATTCAACTTTTGTTGGCTAGCTGACCTTAATAAGCTGTTCTGCCATGCCGGAGCTTTTGTAGCAAGGATTTTTGATCAGATGTCCTTTTGAAATCCAATGCTAAATCAAATGTTGTTGACCAATTTGGCTATAATTGCCATCTCAAGATATTGAACCGTCTCCTCTGTCTTCCACCCTAGCTTCTATTGTCAATGTCTCTGCTGATTTAGGTAGAGTGAAGCATTGTGAGTCAATCAAACAATAGAGGAGCATTGCATCCTTCCCATGCAAATTTTAAAGTTTGTACTTTTCAAAATATAGGATGTGAGTGTTGAGATGTTTAAATTGACATTCTGAACTTTGTGGGGTTTTATTTTAGTTGTCCCATTTTCATAGTTTCTGATTTCTATTTCAGCTAATTAAAAAAGCATGACTAAGATGACGATCTTCTTGAAAGCTTGTTGTCTTTTCTAAGCCGGTTTTGTTGGTTTCATTTTTTTGGCTTGTGCCAATTTTTTGGATTTGTACTTCACTAGGTTTTCTCGTTTAGCTGCTGTCACTGTTGGTCCTAGTTGGTTCCCTTCAGCTACTAAGTCTGCCCCTGCTTTTGTTATGTTTCTTTAAGATGGTACTTTTGATTTGCTTATTATGTTTTCACTGAAACTTGTGTTGGCCCTTTCAACTTTTTGATATCCTGCGAATTTGATTTCCAATAACTTGTATGATTGGTATTGTAGCATTTTATGATTTGGGAGGTTGCAAACTTTGGGTCTTTTTGTGATTGCAAAAGGGGATATTAGGGTGGGGAAATGATAACTATTGCTTAAAGAAATCTCAACTGTCCTATCAAATTTTTGCATTGGTTAGATGCAAATTCTTTAATTGCAGTGTAAGTATTGATTGAAAGTAGGGGTGTCAATATTTGACACGACCTGAAACCCGACCCGAACCTGACCCCCGAAAAATTCTGGGTTCGGGTCAACCCATTTAACATACGGGCCAGGTTCGGGTTCGTCAAGTCAACCCGGTTCAAAAGTCGGTTCGGGTTTGGGTTGAACTGGAAACCTGAAAATGACCTGGGTTGACCCGTTTAACCCGGCTCTACGCAGAGGTGCCTTCACGACTTCGCCAAAGTCAATCGCCTTAATCACGAGATCTCTCATCTCCGCCTATCCTCTCCATGCATCGCTCGCCTCTCATCCCAAGGTCACCTCCCAGAACATCATACACGCCGGCCTCCACCTCTTCCACCAGCTCATATCCGCCGTCGCTCGCCTCTCAACCCGTCGGCCACCTCCCAGAACGTCAAACCCGCCGGCCACCTCCCAGAAAACCACTATAGCTGTTGGTACAGGCGAACATAAGTCACCGAAAACCCAGCCTCTGGCCACCCGCACAACCAGCACCTCACCGCGCTCAGCCAGGCTCTGCCCGCACGCAATTGTGTCACGCCCATTTAGTGTTTGCGGGCTAGGTCGGGTCAACCTAGCAACCCGCGCGGGTGGGGTCCTAGTTGGATTTCTAGAACCGTTTGCAAAAATGGGTCGCATTAGGGCCAACCTGTTTAAACTTGGGTCAATCCGGGTTCGACCCGAACCTGACATGTTGACCCGAATTGACACCTCTAATTGAAAGTTTTCGCAGGAACCATCTCTTTGTAACAATGTGAAGTTTAGATCTTTTATTTTGTTATTTATTTCCTTGTTATTTTTCATCGACATAATTTATAATTTGTTTGTGTGTGTGATTGAGTTTAGTCAAATTTTATACAATCTAAATTTTTTTATTGTTATGTAAACCTTGATCAAAGTATGGCTTCTTAAGATCTCAAATTTCTCATAAAAAAGTTGGATTTCCATAACCGTTTGCAAAAATGGGTCACATTAGGGCCAACCTGTTCAAACTTGGGTCAATCCGGGTTCGACCCGAACCTGACATGTTGACCCAAATTGACACCTCTAATTGCAAGCTTTTGCAGGAACCATCTCGTTGTAACAATGTGAAGTTTAGATCTTTTATTTTGTTATTTATTTCCTTGTTATTTTTCATCGACATAATTTATAATTTGTTTGTGTGTGTGATTGAGTTTAGTCAAATTTTATACAATCTAAATTTTTTTATTGTTATGTAAACCTTGATCAAAGTATGGCTTCTTAAGATCTCAAATTTCTCATAAAAATTGTTATTTGAATGTTCATTAAATTTCCATTTTGGCAAAATTTTGCATATTTTCTGATTTTCATAAAAAAATGAGATTATTTAATTTAATGTTATTTGAATAGTGAGTTTTGATCTTGTGTGTGTAATTTCATGCATTACATTATATAATATTAGGAATTCTTACAGTTTATGACATTTGGCGTTAGCTTTGGTATTATAATTAAGGTTGTGCCAAAATGTCAACTATAAAGGGGGCTCAATATTATGGCCAATTAACATATCATCAAAAGTATGAGATTTTAACAACTTTTCAAAAATCAATTGTGTTAATTACGCATCAAGAAAAATCAAATTGTCAAAGATTAAATCAGGTTAAGGAGGGATTTGACTCTTAAGAAATGAATCAATTTCACTTGCATGGACCATAAGCTGAATCCAATCTTAATGCTGAGTTGTTCTATTTATTTGAATATTAATATTATTATAAGACAATAATTCATCATGGGAAAATTGATCAATATGACTTTCAGACATTATCTGATGTATGATAATGAAGCTTATGATAACTATAGATGTTAACTTTATGACAGAGATAATGACATAATTAGGAGCATTGAAGTTGATGCGTCTACATGCAATAAAAGATATAAATGAATGTGTTTTTTTTATTGGATAGTAGATTTGGATATTTTCTTTGAATTACAAGTGGTGCCTGTTGAGTGCCATGTAAGATTTGCAAAAATAAACTGGCAAGCTAAAATATATAAGATGAGTATGAAAAAAATAAAGTGAAAGATTATGTTGTAAACCAACAATACCTGGGCTGAAAAGAAATAATTATTCTATAAGAAATATATATCATTGTCTTGATCAATTATTTGATGATTTAACATATTAAATAAGGAACAAATATTGCAACTAAATACATGAATAAGCTAGATGAATTTAGCTTGTGTTTGAAATAATAGATCTGAATTTTTTTTTCTAGGTTTAGATTTGAATTCAAACCAACTTACATTAAAAGAAAGATAACATCATATTATATTCTTTCACTTTGTTTTGATGAAAAGTTGGGAAAACCCATCCCACTGATAAAAACTAAGGTCAAAATGATGTCAAATAAGGTATAAAATTTTTAAAAACATTGAAAAAAATAAACAATCAGGAAGGGAAAAAAGGCTCTGGAGGAATGAAAGCGAAATGGGTCTCCTCCATAAACTTAAATATTTTTTTTGTTTCATGCCCTTAGCTCTGTTTGTATAGGAGAATGTTCTTTTCTTTCCTTAAGTTAGAAAAGCCCCTAGCATTTTTTTTAATTCTAAATAACAAAAATAAAAGAGGAGAAGAAGATGTTCTGTATATACCTAAAGTTTTTTGGTTGAAGTCCTTTCTCCACGATGTGAAAGTTGTGTCCAAGTTAATAATAGGTGAGGAAGTATCAACAAATATTCTCACTTGAGCATTCTTCTTAAGTGACATTGGATTTTACTCGTTGTGTGATAGAAAAGTACCCCTCAAACTCAAGGGAAAATTCTATAAGATAGTGATGAGACTTGCAATCTTTATGGTGCAGAATGCTGGCCGTTAAAAGTGAAGCATACAATTAAGTTAAGTGTTGCATAGATGAGGATACTCAGGTGGATGAGTGGCTTTACTCTTAGAGATATAATGCAAAATGAGCATATACATGAAAAGGTTGGACTAGTTCTAGTGGCAAATAAGATTAGAGAGAGCCGCCTTATATGGTTTGGTCACATAAAATGTCAGCCTTCTAAAGACTCGGTTAGGAGAGCAGATGTATTAGATTTGACCTATGTTAAAAGAGATAGAGGTAGACCTAAAAAGACTTTGTTAGAAAATATTAGAAATGACCTTTTTTATGAAATTTAAATGAGAATTTGACTCTTAACAGAACACAATGGTGAAAAAATGATTCATGTTGCCAACCCCATGTAGTGGGTAAAGGCTTAATGTTATTGTTATTGTTGTTGTTATTGTGGGTAAAGGCTTAATGTTATTGTTATTGTTGTTGTTAAATTTCATACATCTAAAAGGGTTACTGCATGTAATAAAAATGTATATTTTCTTCAAAATATTCAAACGAAGGCTGCTATACCTATTTCATCAAAAAGAAATAGCATTACAAGGAGTATTCGCTTGTTACTGTATTTGGCTCTAAAAATTTCTAAAGCATATTTTAAATGTCATGAAATAGTCACTCTACAAACAAATATATTAGTACAAATTTACTAATCGATATGAAGTAAAAGGATATTGAAATTAATGAGGGAATAATGCTCAGAAATTTGATGATGAGATTGGAAATTTTGAAAATGCTTTGATTGATTTTTTTTTTTTGCTTCATTATTGTTATTCCTAAAGTTAAATCTAATTGAAAAAGAATTAATTTTAGGCATATTTTTAAGTATGTGATAAACTTTGTAAATCATTATTAATAGTGGGAGTTGTATGGTTGCTGCTACTAAGTCTTTATTATTTATTGTATGAATTTTAAGCATAAATTACACCCACAACATTATAAAGTAACTTGGGTAGATATAATTGTACTTTTTGAGACAAAATATTTAGTGCCCATTCAACTTATTACATTTAATGATAAACTTTGCTATGATATATTTCTTATGAATGTTGCATATTTTGTGTAGATCTTGGTTGTTTGAGTTAAATGTGATTTATTCTGAGAGTTTTAATACCTGTGTGTTTATAAGCAATTGGAGTAGACTAGGTTTAAAACCTACTAAGTACTAACTGAAGGAACACTTATTTGTTAATTGCGAAAGAATTTAGTGCTTTTAATGAAGTGAAGAAATCTTTGCATATTTTGAGTCAACATGCTTTAAAAAAATAGTTGAATAAAAGAAGTGATTTATGCCTTAGTGGTTATTAAGTTTAAAGCTGTCATGTATTTGAGATTGTTAATTAAGTGTTGTATAATTTTAAGATCTAAATCTTGATCAATGTTTAAAATTGTGCAATTGGGTATTGATGCATTTTTTTCGTGAAGCGAGGCATAATCCTCAAGGCGTTTGAGGTGTGAGCCTCAAAATTAAAAAAAAAAATGTGTAAAGTGCAAATAAAGGTTAAAAAATGATTTTTTATATAATACCCAAATAATATGTTAAAAGATAACATATTATTTTTTTATTGAACGATGAAGTAGCAAATTGACATACATATGAAACAAAAAATTACATAAGACGTAAAATGACAAGTGATAAATTGTATTAAAAATAATTGAAATACAAATATTACATGAGAAAAAAATATTAAATATAAAAACTATATAAAAGTATCGTATAACATTAAATTCAATTTCAAATTCTTTCATTTTCAGTTCCCTACCCATACATATTTAATTTCTAAAAAAGTTTGAAATAGTTGGAAACAACTAGAAAATCATATGTACTATCATCACTAAGGGGGTTTTTATTTGAGTTGTCATCATAACAAATTGGTCTCTTCCTCGTCTCATCCTGTGGAGTCCAATGCCTCCCAATATGATTCTTCTTCATATATTTTAGTTACCTCTGCTTCCATAAATATTTTTCATCAACATAAAGATGAGATTAATACTCCAAAATTTTTAGAGAAGGAGGTGGTGGTGGTGTGCGATTTTCAAGTGATCTTTGATGGTGGCTGTGGCGAAGGCAACAGGCTGGAGGTTAAGACAATCGAGAGGAAGTTGTTTCGACTTGTGCATGAATGTATGATTTGTTGGAGATTTACTTTAGGATTTATATAAGTTTTAAATAAAAAATAATATAAATAAGGCGAGGCGTAAGCCTCATGCTAGCGAGACAAGGCGCGCCTTAAGGCAGGCCTCAACCAAGTTGAGACTTTTTTCACTGAAATTGAGTTGAGATGGGCCTTAAGGCTAGCATCATATTGCGCAATTTTAAAAAATGATCTTGATGGTCTTCATGATGAATTACCGCAAAGTGGAGATATGCATTTCTACTTTGATTTTTGAATAATTATTATTGAATGCCACAGTATATGATGTATTCAATTCAACATGTTGAGCTTAAAAGATAGATCATTTGTTTAATAAATGATTTATTAATTAGAGTTTGAGTTTTTGTGTAGTTCATGCATTATTTACACCTAAGAAATATTATAATTGGAGTTTGTGTGTGGATATTAGAATAAATAATAAAAATTATCATAAAATATTGATTTTTTTATAGCTAAATTTTGGATGGTATATTGTTTATAATGATTGGCATTGGTATATTTTAAAACATTGATCTGATGAGGAGATGAGTGAAAACTCACTTTTAAAATTAAAGATGAATTGTATGAATGATTGGCGATGCTTTTTAGATTTATTGATACACTAATTACTTTTTTGAGAATCATAAATTATGTTTTTGACCTTTCATTGAAAATTTTCTAGTTGTCATTTGATGATATCTTGGTTTATAAGAGGACTAGAAATGATCTTTTCTAAAATCTTTAGAAAGTATTTAAAATATTACAAATTCTAAGTATATGTGAATATGAAAATATATTATTTTGTTACATTATCTATTAACATTTTTTAGATTAATTCTGTCAAGTGAACTATTGATCTTAATAAAGTCAAAGCAAGTAGTAAGTGACCAACATTTACAAGTGTATATGAGATCAAAGCTTTCTTAGTCTAGCTACTATCTATAAGTGGATTTAGTAATTGTCTGGCTATCGACTATTGATTCATCAAATTTAGTTTTGGAATGATGCAAATTACAAATTATTTTAAGGATTTAAATGGTAAAAAACTATTGGTTATATTTTTAAGGATGTTAAGGAGAGACTTATAAACCATCTGTTTTAAATGCTTGATTCTTATAATTTAAAGACAGAATTAAATGGATATAATTTGCTAATCATGCTTTTTAAAGGATATTAAGGCGAGGCTTGCAAACACTTTTGCGTAAACTGCTTGATTTTAACAAATTGTTTGAGGTTGAGAAATTGAATGATGTAAAGTAAAAATATTCAAATTATGACAGGAAGTATTATGAAGTTTTACAAACACTATGATATTGGAGTCATTATTTGTTGCCTAAAAATGTTTGTCCTATGTTGTCCATTATCAACCGTTAAAGTGTTTGAGTTCATAGAAACATAATTTGGGCATAAACACGTTAAATGGGTTGAATATCTGAGGAAATATATGCATTGTACATTATGATGTGATTTAAAATAAACTTGTAAATGCATTAAGCAAGATTGTTATTTACACATAATGAAACTTAAGATAACTAGATTTTATCATATTAAGGAAGAATATGCTGCTTGTAAAGTTGTTATTTAATGTATCATGATTAAGGGTTGAATCATATATGCTTAAGAAATATTTCATGATTAATGATGCTTGTTTTCTTAAGGGAACATGTCTATGTTTTTTTTTTTTTTAATTTGATTTACTTTCTTGACATTTTTATACGGAATAAAACTATAACCATGACTCTCCAATTTTAAAAAGAAATGCAGAGCAAATTATTTCACAGTGCAAACCTTTTCAAATGACTAAAGGAAAAGAAATAATATGGTACTTTACATGACTTTGCCTATTCGCTATTAAGCATTATGTGGATGTTAGCATGAACTTTGCATTACCACAAACTTTTAGGAAACATGATTGGATTATTTATTTTTAAATGGCATATTTCATTTCATTTACTAAATTTGCTTGTGCGTCTCATATAAACCAATTCATAGTTAGTTGAAGTGATTAAATTGCATGGCTTACTTGAAACCTTAGTTAGTAGGTAAAGTCACCTACATAAAAAAAAATAAAAAAAATACTTGAAACCTTAGTTGGACTATTTGTGTTTTTTTTTTTCATCAAATGGGCTGAGTATTTGTTTTAGTTGACGGTTTGTTAAATTCAAATTTTGATCTTATGCATGTGATTTCATGCATTTCATCATATAATAGCATTAGAAAATCACTGGTTCTAACTCATTAGTTAACGTTTGATTCTAATCTGTTTTTCATAGTTGGAGTTATCTTTGATTCCAATCTGTTTTTCATAGTTGGAGTTATCTTTGCTAAGCGCGGAGAATCTGTTTTTTTATCCTCAATTTTTCGTTCAGCTGTTATGCACTTCGTGGATTTTTTTATTTACTTACAATCTTAACTTATATTTAAATTGCACTCATTATTTTGAGAATAGGCAAATTGGAGGCATTCATCATATGTTGTTCTTTCTGCAAACCTTTTCTTTTCTGTGCAGATTCATAAATTTTCATGTCATGAGGATGTTTTGGAGACGTGGGTCACATGATTTCTTGGGATTTCTTTTGTCAGTTTTGAAATTGATCAGTTTGCTTGAGCCATAAACAATTATTGGCGGCACATGACTTGTATTAGTATAATATTGATTACTTTTTTGATTGAAATTATTATTCGAGCATTCACTATTGTTTTTGCAGATGGATGGTTTTGACCAAACAGTTAATGTAAAAGTCATAATGGCAACTAACCGTGCTGACACTTTGGATCCTGCCCTTATACGTCCTGGTAGACTTGATCGGAAAATTGAGTTCCCTCTACCTGATAGGCGGCAGAAAAGGCTTGTTTTTCAGGTAAGCCATGCAACCATCTTTCCGGTGCTGTATTCTGTTAGTGAAGCAGATCCCGTAGGTTACTTACACCTTACTTTTAATTAATATATTCGTATATGGACGTTAGGAAGTGTCAAACTTTTTTCTCTAGCAAATAAGATTGCTGGGCTTTGTCTCTGTGAGCTATATATAACTCATTGCTCTATTTACTGCTGACATGTGCCTTTTCGATTATGTGGATTGCAGTTTATCTTACTACAAACGACACCTTTCAAGTTGCTATTGTATTTTTTGAAATGTAGGCACGCATTAAACTTTCTTTGGCCTCATCCATTTCTTGTTTTGCTTCTTCTGATGTTATTCTATTTTGCTTTATAATCCATCATTCTTTATTTGTTCTTTTCTATTATTGCAAGAGGTGCTAAATCTATTTTGCACAATTTTTATTCATGTTACCTTCTGATTGCATCCAAAAAGAAATGATGTAATAAAATAGCTAGAAAATATTAAATCTATATTGATAATTGACTTTGTAGATGTATGTTTTCTTGGCACAAGAAATTGCTGCTTATCAATTGCATCTGCTGCTTCATTTTCCAGGTCTGCACTGCAAAAATGAATCTTAGTGACGAGGTTGATTTGGAAGACTATGTTTCTAGACCTGATAAGATTAGTGCAGCTGAGGTTAGTTGTTTTTGCATTCATTTCAATAATTTGTCTACGGCGGGTGTGTTTTTTTATATGACCATTGTATGTTATAATATTGCAGCTACTCCATCTCATGCAAATAATATGTTTAACATGGTCTTTTTTGTTCCTTGATACCTTTATTTGAACAGTTATGTTATCATTTCTTAGACAAAGAAGGAAATTTTGCATAAACCTCCCTATAAAATTAGACTCTGGTTTTAAAACTTAGTAAGTAACATATATATAGATATATATATGCCGGTGCGCTTGTGTCATATGAGAAGCCATCGCCCAATCTTGGCAAGCTCATCAACATGCATTCATGAATGTGTGGAAGGGGGGTTTAACACCTAGTATGTTTGAATTCCTTAAAAGATCTCTGGAGTAAAATCTTGGTTTTATAAACTAAAATCTGGTAGTAATAGCCGAGCTCAAAGAAGTTCAGTCATATGCTGAGATTTCAAGAAACCTTTGTAGATTTGTAAGGTATTAAGGAAATATGGCATATACATGTTAGGATTTTAAGAATGCTAATTGTTCTTGTTTAGTAGGCGTATAAACTATTGTCTTTATTTTCAAAATTTTAAAAACTAGGGCCGTTTCACAAAAAGACTAAATAGGCAGGTTTATTCAGATTTCTCAAAAAAAAAAAAAAAAAAAAAAAAAAAAAAAAAAAAAAAGAATTGTGTAGGTTGAGTGATCTGGTCTTTTTGAATTTTTCTATGTTTTCCTGATGAAGCATCTGTTTGGATTTATGCTTCGTTTGGGACAACTTTTTTATTGCTTCTTAAAACGGAATTTTGATAAAAAACTTTAATTTTTTTACTAAAACTCCATTTTAAATAATAATAAAAAGCCGTCCCAAACAAAACCTTAATTTAATTACTTCAATATTGCTATCAAATATAAATTCATTGGCTGAGATTTAAAAATTTTAAATGGGATGAGTTATTCTTAGTGTTATAAAATTTCAAGCCCATTTATAGTATTAATGTGGATTCCTTGGAAATTGTTTTACAATGGATGCCTGCCTGATGATGCATAAGCTCGACTAGTTTCTTGGAATTATTTTTTTGAACTCCACTCTTTTCATTTAATTCATCTGTGTAAGCCAGTATATTTGCTGCTCAATCATTTTGGCAGATCGCAGCTATTTGTCAGGAAGCTGGGATGCATGCCGTCCGAAAAAATCGTTATGTCATCCTTCCCAAAGACTTTGAGAAAGGCTACCGAACTAATGTGAAGAAGCCTGACACAGACTTTGATTTCTACAAGTAAAAGCCCTAGGGCACATGGCTTCATACTTAATGGAACGGGCTAGTCTAAGAATACATCATACTGTTTTGTCAAGTCTTAGACATTTGAATTGATTTTGGTTGAATTCACAGGAAGCGTTGTTACTGTACTCAGAATTTTATCAAACAGTTTTTAAAGCTTCGAACCTACTGTAGCACTGTATGCTACAATATGCATGGACGAACATCTCTGGAGCCTGGTAAAATTTAATACTCTTTGGGTAGGAATCAGATTTAAACTTCCTTGTGTAGAAGTGAACTTTCTAGAAATGATTGTTATTAGTTCTTTTATCCACTGTATGTTTGTACTGCTACGAATCAGATTATTGAAGCTTTTCTCCTTGGATGTGAAATTTGAAGGTTTGATTGCTTTGTTTGCCAAATAGGTGCTAAACAAATGTACTGCAAACAATGTAAATGTTGCACATTGTAGAGTATAGGTAGGTACAAATTTGTTTTATTTGTTTTTCATTCGATCATTTTTTTAGTTTATGTGAATTGCTCAACCATAAGCGTTCTTATGGAGATATGTGCGCTTGCAGGAGATTTTGAAATATCTGTCGAAAATAGGGCCACTCTGCCTTTAAATGTTGGTATCACACAGACTTGAACTTTCAGTTTCCATGCTCAAATTCTCAGGCTCTTTTTGCAACTTTTCCCATGCCTACTTTGGAATGATATCTCGCCTCAGTTGTTTCGTCTCATCTTACATCATATCTTACTCAACTGCGATAGTTGCATCTCTATGAAGGATTGCAACTGGTTATAGTTGCAATGAACTTCTTGTCCAATTCCTCTTGTTCCTTGTCTCCTCTTAAATCGACTTTTTTTCACACCAATCAAACCCTCTACCCGTTCCAACCGCTCATCTATGCTCTCCAGATTTCAGAATTAGCCACCTCAAATCCCATGATCTTCTCAAGTCATCTATGGCTCCATTGCACATTATAGGGAGCTTACGGCTACAATATGAAGATATAATTTATTTCACTGAAGCCTTCAGTCATATGGCTAAAATGTCAACAATTTATGTATTTCTTGTAAATATTCTGTAGCACAAATAGGTGATCAATTAATTTGACGTGTCTGATGCATTTCTTCATGGTAAGTTCTTGGAGATCATATACATGTCCATATCACCCAATTTCAATGATCCCAATCATCCTAATTATAACTATGCCAATACACACGCCTCCATCAATGATTAAGCTTCCCACTTTGCCCGCCATCTGCAGTCACCTGTTTTGTGTTAATCCTAACTGTTCAGTTATGGTTGATCCATTCTCTATGACCCAATGGATCATAATATTCTCTGCTAACTTAACCAACTCATCCAACATTATATGTGATACTGTAGCAATGACCACATGGAGATATGTCTTGAGCATAGGCGGATCCGCCAAGGACTCAGGGTGGATAAATGCCCACCCTCAAAATTTTTTTTAAAAATATTTAGAAATGAAATTTTGGAATATTTTGAGTATTTTGGGTATTTTGCCCCTCCCCCTCAAAAATATTTTTTGCCCTAATTTTATCAATCATAAGCATCTTTTATCCATCCCACATTAAAAAAAAAAATTTTTTTTTGCCCACCCTGAAAAAAGAAGTTGGATTTGCCCCTAGTCTTGAGGTTTTCTTGCTTCATGTTGATTTTCCTCTGCTATGTAACTTTAGCTTGCTGAAATCAATTCTCTATGAGTTCTACATTGTACATGCCAGTGTGACAACTCACAAGTTTGTTATATATTATTTATTTCTATTTATATATATGTGTGTGCTTTATCATATTATTGTTAACGTTATCTCCTTTAAGCAGGTCTGTAGGTTGTACTAAACCAATAAGTGATTGTTCATTATTTATTTATTTCATTTTTTTAGTATACTTCTCTATTTAGCCTGTTATTCTTAAAAATATTATAGATATTAAGATCTTTTAATTGGAGTTTCGATTATTAATTAATAGGTATTAGGTTTAAAATTTACATATGTGATGTGAGTTTATTTTTTATTGGCTCAAAAGTTTTTTCATATTCGATGAACTTTTAAAAAAAAAAAAGTTGACCTTCAAAATAATGTCATAATGATGTCATCTCAAAGCCTCAAAGCAATAAATATTAATTTGCATGCTCGCGTGCATGTGGCGGCATCCAGTCGTACGTGAGGCAAGATGATATCAGAGTCTCTCTCTCTCTCCCTCTATACTTTAAAAAACTATAACATTTCAAATAGTTCTTCCTGTTTTACTTTATTCCGTTTCCATCAGAAAATTTCTTTGGAGTAGGAACTTCTACCGCGATTCTTCCCCTAGAACGAGAAAAATTATTGTTGCATTCAAAATTCAATCAGAATGCTGCGTTATATTAGTTTTTTGTTCGGTATCGGTATTCGTACTGTTTGATACTGAGTGACGTGACGTTTTCTGGTTGGTCTTTAAACTGTCTGGTGTTCACACAGAATAATTTCTCCTCAAACGAAGCTGTTGAACATTTAGGTCATTTAAGATAAATTCACACACACAATGCATACATAAAATCTCGAATTCAAGATATATTAGTTGGAAGATTAATCTCTCAATCAATAGGCCAAAATGAGCAGTGTCCCTCAAAATTATTCATATAACCATCTTGAGGGACTTTCAGTTGAGTACTTAACTTAAAAAATATTTATATTTCTTATTTGATGAGCTACGTTACCGAACGTCGTACGCATATATCTCTGAGGAGTTTCCAGATGGAAGGGGCTGAGGACACGTTGATTCGTACGCGAAGGTTTAGATAGTTTGCTTAACTGTTTTTATTTTTTTAATTAACTGGCAACGGCCATACTGATATTATATCCTCAAAGTGGCTATCTCAACTTAAGATAAGAGCGGTTAAAGTTATCTCTCATTAAAATGTGATACTAACAAAAACAAAAATTAGAAAGGTGTTCTATATGTGTCAATAGCTTTAATGATTTTGTCAAATTTATTAAATCTTCTGAAACAATTTTTTTTTCTCTACATTTTTCATTGACATGAATTATATTGAAAGTCTGGTCCTCAAGATTGGTAAGCAATTTTGTTGATCAATAATGTTGGTTCACCAAATTACTTATAGAGACTTATGCTTCATTTGGGATTGTTGTAACTTCTTATAAGGATGGCTCTAAAGTTTTATAGCTCAGAATGTTGGTCATTAAAGCAGAACCATAAAACTAAGTGTTATAAGACAAGAATGCTAAGGTGGATGAGTGGTTTTACACTTGAAAACAAAATGTGAAACAAGCATATACGTGAAAAGGTTGGAGTAGCTCTAGTGGTAAATTAGATTATAAAGAGTTATCTTAGGTGGTTTGGCCACATAAAACATCGGCCAAAGAAGAACTATTAGATCCGGCCTATCCTATAAAGATGGAGAGAGATAGATCTAAAAATTTCTAGTTATAAAGTATTAGAAATGATCATTTTTATTAGTTTTAAATTAGAATTTGATTCTTAATAGAACGTAATACATACAAAAAGAATTCATGTAGTTGAACCACATATAATGAGATTAAGGCTTCGTTTGGGACAGCTTTCTTACTGCTTCTTAAAGTAGCTTTTTAGTATAAAAATATTAATTTTTGTACTAAAAAAGCTATTTTAAGAAGCATTAAGAAAGTCGTCCCAAATGAAACCTAAGGCCAGTTGTTGATTTCAATTGGCTGAGCATTATTTTTTTTTTATTTTTGTTATTTTTTGAACAAATTATTTTCTCTTTGGAGTGAGAACAGAGGTCAACACAATATAACCTGTGAATTAATTTACTCTACAATCATTTTGTAATTTATCATACTAATTTGATTCTATATATAATAAAATCAAATGTAATTGGACTCTTTCGAATTTGAATCATAAAATGAGTATTAGGTTAGATCTTGACTTGTGAAACCCCAAATTTTGAAAAATTAAGTATGCCCTCAGCATTCTTCTATGAATGACAAATGTTCTTAATTTTCTTTCTACCTTTTAGAACTCTACCTAAAATACGTCATGATGACTTAGTTTAATATTTTAAATTTCAAATTTATACTTCTGAGGCTATTAATTAAGCTTGGAAATCAAAGAACTATTCTAAATAAAAAATCAAATTCTAATTAGAAATATTTTATATTTATTGAAAATTTCAAATATGGCGTAGTAATTAGTTAGATATAAATTAAAGAAACCAAATAGGATGAGAACGAGTGTTTATCTTGTTAAACAAATTTCAGGTCAATTAGGGCAGAAATGATTGGTGAGCCGACTCGAGCTTGACTCAATAAATGACTTGTAAGTCGAGCTCGATGAGTTAATGAGCCAAGTTTCAGACAATCCGGACTCGACTCGTTAACTCGCGAGCCTGCTCGTTTTAAAAATATTACTATAAAATGCACTTAAAATATATTAGCATTCATAAGTTTAATTAAAAATTATTGAAAATTTATACCGTACTTTTTTTAATATTAAGTGATTATTCATTATTTTCATAGAATAAAATTTGTACTCAATTAATTAATCAATTTCAAGCTCAAGTCAAGATTGACTCGAGCTTGACTCCTGGTTTACACCTCTATTGAAGTCTTGATTCAAATATCCTGACTAGAAGTTTGGACTAGCCTATATTGGCAGGCTTTATTTTTCATATTTTTAAATTTTAGAAAATTGTCTTTTTTTTCCTTCCAACACTTTTTATTATAATTTTTTTTTTCCAAAATTTTAGGCTTTCTTAGTTTTCTTATGTAAGGAAGCTTAGAAGATATGGTAATGATTTAGTAGGAACCTGTTGTGAAAGGTTGAAGCTTATGCCCTCCAGCTATGATTATTTTCCCCATAGAGTTTTGGAAACCAGGAGTTTTACAGGTATAAAATGTTTTTTTTAATACTTTTAATATTGGAGAAAATTAAATTCAGAATAATTTTAAAAAGTTTTATCAACTAAAGTTTTGCATGAGATAGTTTAAGGCTTTGTTTGACAAAACTATTGACCATTTTTTATGATGCTTTCAAAAAAAAAAATTACGTAAAAGTTGTTTTAGAAAGCATGAAGAAAGTTGTGAAATTAAGCATAAGGATCTGTTTGAGATGGATGCACCTTTCTGTAAAGGCAAAAGCTAAAACAGTGCTAAAATATAAGATGTGGTTGCGGTCTGAAAGAAAAACAATAAGAAAGTTGTCCCAAATGAAACATGAGGTTTTGTTTGTATTGATTTGTAAAGTAATTTTTTAGTATAAGAATTTATATTTCAAAATATTTTCATATTAGAAAATTATTTTAGAAAGTAGTATGAAAGCTATCCCAAACTAAGTATAAATTTTTAAATATTTGCTTTTAAAAAGTACTTTCTCAATGACAGTTTCAAAGAAACTTTTTAAAAAATATATTTTTTTTAAAGATAATTTTTTTTAATTAAAAAATTATTTTAAGATGCAATAAAAAAATACACATAAAACTTTCAAAAACTATTATTTCTCTGAACAGCTACACAAGCTTTTGGATGCCTTTCTTTATTGTTTCAGTTTATTTTGTAGATTTTATATAAGTTATTTTGAGCCATATTTTATAAATTATTTTCTTTTATCTTTGTGGGTTTTATTTTGGACAACTTATTTATTTTTAAAAGCAAATTTTTAGTTAAAGGTTTTAGAACAAAACTTTTTTTTATAATTGTTGCGTCCAGGAGTATTCGCAGCGGTAGAGAAATATAAAGTTTATCGTCTTAGCATTGTACGAAAATCCGGCATGCAATCAGATAAGAGAGAGGGTCTAGCATTCACATGAGACACCAATGTTTTAACGTGAAAAAACCTCTAAAAAGGGGGAAAAAACCACGGGGCCTACCCCAGTTTGAATGAATCCACTAGTATTGTAGTTGATTACAAATGAGGTCCTTCCTTGGTTGAAGGTCTTAGCTTGATATACATCTTATGAAGTACATTACATGATGTTAATTAATACAAAGAGTCATTATTGACATGTTCGTTTGGTCGGAAGGATTGTAGTCGGAGGGCGACGGAGGTCGGAACCCTTGATTCGGACTCATTTGGGCTCGGATTGGGTTGATCTTGGTGTCGTTGGGTTCGTATTTCCGAGACGCTCAGTTTGACTGTAAGCTCGCTGAAATCGGAGTTCATATGCTCGCGAAATTAATTTTTAAAGTTTCCAACTAGCTTTTGCCTCGAGATTCGTGCCCGACCAAGATAATTTTGAGATAACGGATCAAGTATCAACCATAAAACTATTTTAAAAAACAATAAAGAAATTATCCCAAACAAAGCCTAAATTCTCTCACAATTTTCTTTAATATTAAGCCAAAACGATTTTAAGGATATAATACTCTATTTTAATTAAATCTTTTCGAAAGCTTGTGAGAAGTTTGTTCTGTCAAACTTTAGAAATTTTCTTTTAAGCAAATATTAACTATGACTTAACGGATAATCCAGCGGTTAAGTTAAAACCCTTTGGTGCTGGCAGAAGCTAATTACAGATTACTTTGCTTGGCAATGTATATTCATATTTTATTCATTTATTATTTATTTTCAAAAATAAGTTTTATATGGAGCTTCATTTGTTATGCAATAATGCAAATACAAATATATTGGAATTAGAGCTGTTTAAATTATGATCTAATGCGTATCAGTATCACCAATAAATATCAAAAGATTCAAAGAAGCCGAACAAATTGTAAAATTGTGACTTATTGAAGTCCGGACGCCGTGCGAACTCCGCGCGTAATAATTTCTCTTCTTTGGGTCAGTTCTCGCTCCCCCTCTCTCTCGAGACTCCATTGCTGAAGGAGCCAAAGCTTGAGATTCCAATCCCTCGAGCTCTCTCCCTTCTTCTCCATTGCTGAAGAAGCCAAAGCTTGAGATTACAAGCTCTCTCTCTCTCTTCTCTCTCTCTCTCTCTCTCTCTCTCTCTCTCTCTCTCTCTTTCGGCCGGCCACTCCGTTGCTGAAGAAGCCAAAGCTCGAGATTCCAATCCCCCAACCTCTTACCCTCTTTCGTTCTACATCCCCCTTGTAACCGGCGTGCTTTGAGACTTTATCCATAGGATTATTGGAGCGATTATATTCGATTGATTCGTTTACATGGATGGAAAGCTGAGGCTTGCCCTCGGTTTCTACCAAAATTTCCACGGTTTCCCTCTCCTGGTGATTTTCTTGAGCTCGGAGGGAATGGATGATCTGGAGCGCCTAGGCCGGCGGTTCTAGCTCAACAATTTAGGATTCTTCTTGTTTTATCGTGGTTTCCGTTGATGGATATTGAAGATTCTTACTTCGCACTACTTAGCTGGAGTGATCGGGGTTACTCCGTTAGCAATCTGCCTTCCGGTCCAACAGGGAATGTTTTCCTTTTGGGGGCTCTTACAGATTTTACTCTAGTGAATAGTTGGAATCTTTAGCCAAGACAGGTCTTCCAGGTACTTTCGTTACATATCACCATTTTTTCTCTCGATTGAACTCTAGAATGGAATGAATAGCATCACTGAGAATTTGGGATTAAGAACTTTCTTGTTTGTTTGCTAATGCAGATTCTCCTGTATTTTGTAGGCGGGGAAAAGGATTGATCTTCTTCTCTTCATCAGGTGTGATTTATTATTTTATTTACAGTTCGAATTTTTCGTTCTTACTCATATAAGCATAGAGTCTTGTTAGTGAACCAGGATGGGGAATCTCAGCAGCTTGCCATACCAATTGTCTGGTGTGGGAAACTTCCCTCTTTCTCCAAATTAAGCTGTTAGCTTTTCATATCTGATATAAGAAAATATTATTCTTTTCTTAACTTTTCTTTGTGAGAACTTTTAGGCTAATATTTTAATTAACATGTGTCCTAAATGTTAATCTATTTAAGTTAATATGAATGCTTGGTATTTTTTCTTTCGTATGATTACTTTAAACAGATCTCCTTTCTACTGTCATTTTGAAAAGTTTAGGTTAATACGTTTTGGTGGTGGTGTTACTTAGGCTTCATTTGGGACAGTTTTTATATTGCTTTTTATAACGGTTTTATAGTACACAAATTTCTTAAATTTGAAGCCAGTAATGAGGAGTTTCACTGTTAAAGAAATCTTTGTATTAGAAAATTGTTTTAAAAAGCAAGAAAAAAACCGTCCCAAACGAAGCCTTAGTTGTTCGTCCAGAACGAGTAATGAGGAGTTTCACTGCTCTCCCTTTTAAGCATTTCAGGAGAATTTTAAATTTTTTTTATGCTGAAAGAAGAAAGGGATGGTTCCTTTCTTTCTACCCTTCCATCTAGGGCTGCTTTCTTGCCTTATTCAAAGTGATCTACATGTTTCTTTTTTTTTATTTAATTGGTATAACCAAAACCCCTGCAACTTCAATTATGTGGAGCTCTTTTGCTTTTTCCCCGTAAAGGTGATGTTTCCACACAACTCTTTCTGACCTATTGGTTGAGAGCTTAGGCTTCCAATTAAGAAGTCTAAGGTTTAAGTCTCTGTGTATGCGTTGTGTGTGTGAGTTTGCCTTAAATAGCCTAAATGTCCCAAAAAAAAGGTGATGTTTCCACAACCTACTGCAGCTTAGTGGACCCGAACAAAGCCAGGCTAAGGGATCATTAGGGCAATTGAATCCTGCAGCTATTTGTAAAATTAATTATATAGTTAAGAGAACATTTTGGGTTTTATGAAAGATGATTTGAGTGTTATAATCTTTTTATTTTGAAAAAGTTAGACAATTTTTCAAGAAGCATGATACATTTGATGTTGTTTTCTTGCTAATAATACTCAAAATTATGCACCAATTCTTGTCTTCCATCTCTGCAGCTGGAAAGGAGGAAATTGTTGAAGCTATTCTGGAAATTCTGAGCCTTTTATTCACTTATGCCATTCTGAGTGATTTTCCATGAGCTATCACAAGCTTCCACAAAAATTATCTTTACTTCTCCTACTGATCACGACTCTGGTTGCTGCAGACCTGAATGATGACAAGCAAGCCCTCCTTGCTTTTGCGGCAGCCATCCCACATGGAAAAAAGCTCAACTGGAGTTCTAATAGCTCAGTTTGTTCTTTGTGGGTTGGAGTCAGATGTGCACCAGACAGAAGCCGTGTTGTTGCTCTAAGGCTTCCAGGAATTGGTCTCCTCGGTCCAATTCCTGCAAATACGTTAGGAAAGCTTGATGCCCTTCAGGTTTTAAGCCTCCGCTCTAATGGCCTTTTTTCAAGTATTCCTCCAGATGTCCCATCTATTTCTTCTCTGCGCTCTCTTTTCCTTCAACACAATAATTTGTCTGGTGGTATACCCACATTACTTGCATCAGGCATTACATTTTTTGACCTCTCTTTTAACTCCTTCACGGGAGGAATCCCCTTAGAGATTCAGAATCTGACCAAGCTAAATTCATTATATTTACAGAACAATTATCTCTCAGGTCCCATTCCTGAACTAAAGTTAGCAAAACTACAGCATTTAAATTTCAGCTTTAACAACCTTAGTGGCCCTATACCAATCTCCCTCCAAAAGTTCCCCAAGGAGTCCTTCCTTGGAAATTCATTGCTATGTGGTCCTCCTTTAGAGCAATGCCCTGGAGTTCCCCCTTCGCCGTCACCATCACCATCACCATCACTCTCACCCTCGCCCTCGCCCTCGCCCTCACCCTCACCCTCACCCTCACCCTCGCCATCAGTAAGTCCTGAAGAACACAAGAAAGGTTTCTGGAAAAGGTTAAGTTTGAAGGTTGTAATTGCGATTTCTGCTGGCGTTTTGGCCCTGATGCTGCTTATAGTAATTATTCTCTTGATATGTATTTTGCTGAGACTATGTAGGGGAGGTAACAGACCTTCTAAGGAAAAGGTTATTATTACTGGTGCAAGAAGTGTAAAGACTAAAGAGGACTACAGCAGTGCGGTTCAAGAAACTAAGAAGAATAAATTATCTTTCTTTGGGGGATCTTCTCATGCCTTTGATTTGGAGGACCTGCTGAGAGCATCTGCTGAAGTTCTTGGCAAGGGAAGCTATGGAACAACATACAAGGCTGTTCTTGAGGATGGAACTATAATAGTGATTAAACGGCTAAAGGAAATGGTGGTTGGTAAGAGGGAGTTTGAACAACAGATGGAGATAATAGGAAGGATTGGGCCACATCCAAATGTCTCACCGCTCCGTGCTTATTACTACTCCAAGGATGAAAAGCTTCTTGTTTATGATTACATTCCGACTGGCAGTTTCTCGACCTTATTACATGGTATGTTTCTAAAATATCTCATCATTGATTTTTAATCTGTGCCAAAAATCTAGTACTAAATTTGCTTGGCAAATTTAGATTTTGTTTGGGAAGGCTTTCTTATTACTTCCTAAAACAGTTTTTTTAGTACAAAAATTGAATTTTTTATACTTAAAATCTGCTTTAGGAAATAGTACGAAAGCATCCCAAACAAACCCTTAATTTCCAAATAAGGCAATACATTCTAATACTCGTGATTTATTGAATGCCTTTCATGAAATATTTTTTTCATGATCTGAACTCTCAACTTTTATGTTATAATAAAGGCAATATAATCATTATTGAGGCATGTCCTATATTTCTATCCATCAAAATTGTAATGTCTTATAAAACTACTCGTAGAGACAGCTTACTAGTCAGGATTCCTGAAGTTTCTCTATCATTTTTTATATAATTTGATGAACAGGGAACAACAGAAGCACTGAGAGGACCCCTTTGAACTGGGTCTCACGCTTTAAAATTGCACGAACAGCAGCACTAGGCTTAGCACACCTTCATGCCGAAGGCGATGGAAGGTTTGTCCATGGAAATATCAAATCCTCTAACATTCTAGTCACTCAGGAAAGCCATGCCTCTCTCATCGACTTTGGCCTGGCCTCCATTATGAGAACGCCTGCTTCTTCCTCCCGAGTTGCAGTCGGATACCGCGCTCCAGAAACCATTCAATCACGAAAATTTACTCAGAAATCAGATATTTATAGCTTCGGAGTTCTACTTCTTGAGATGTTAACAGGCAAAGCTCCTCTTCTATCCTCAGGAGGTGATGATATTGCTGATTTGCCGAGATGGGTTCAGTCTGTATTGAGAGAAGAATGGACCGCTGAAGTTTTTGATGTGGAGCTGATGAAGTATCAGAATATTGAAGAAGAGCTTGTTCAAATGCTTCAAATTGCAATGGCCTGTGTTGCGAAAGCTCCAGACCAACGCCCTAAGATTGAGGAGGTGTTGAGAATGATCGAAGGAGTAAGGTTGTCTGAGTCTCAGAATAGGCCATTCTCAGAGGATTAGTTTCAAAGACTTTGATTTTTAAACGTCATGAAATGTTGAGAGGTGGCAAATAGAGAGATTTTTTTCTTTTCTTTTCTTTTTTCAGCCAATTGTTTTCACATTATTTAGTCATTTTTTTGTGCAGAATTTAGTAAATGTATTCATGCTTGGTGAGGCTTCCTAAAAAGTGTGTTCATTTGCCTCACTTTTAGCTCGTGTTGGGCTTTATATTTGTCTTAAAAGCTTTAAAATTTTCATAAACGATTTTATTGGTGAGCCCACTTGTTTTTATTTCTGAGTTAAATCGGTCACTTTTTATGGTGTAATTTCTCCTAGTTTAAAAATCCATTGCTACGGATGTTGGGGGTAAATTAGTACTTATAAATTATGCTTCATAAATGGTATGCCTCAAGCAAAATCTGCTCATTTGGGACGGCTTTATTGTTACTTCTTAAAGCAAATTTTTAGTATAAAAATTTTAATTATTAAACTAGAAAGCTTCTTAAGAAGCAGCAAGAAAGTCATCTAAGACTTTGTTTGAGATAGCTTGTTTATTGCTATGCCTCATAAGTATCTTAATGAGTAACTATACGATAAGAACATCTCTCATCTTAAATTTCCAAAAGCCAAAACTCTTTGAGCACCAAACTTAATTACTTAACCATCTCAAATTTTATGACCATTATACTTATCATTGCCCCTAAAATTAGTCTAGAAAACACTATAAACTGCAAACTAAGTACAAAGAAAAATAAACACAATAAAAAAGAACAAAAAAATTTATGTGATTTAGCTTAAGCCTACATTCACAATCTCAAACAACTAATTTCTCTAAATTTTAACAAATATACATGAAGAGATTATGCTATATACAAAGTAAAACTCTTTCTTGAATAATACCCCTCTAATCTATTTTTCTCTTCTTCTTCTCTCTCTATTGTTTATTATCATGCATACTTCAATACAATGCAATCATTTTTTTTATATAATGCTTAGGCATAATAAAAATCAACTGTGAGTGAATTAGATTTAAGGTAGATTAACTATCATCTTGAAAAATCAAATATAAATGAATAGAATTTCAAAAATCAAGATAAATTTTTATCTTAGTTAATAGAATTTTGACACCATAGAAAACAACCATGGGCCCAACTTCATGATTTGCAAATGCTAAATGGCTACAAATCACAATTGAGAAGAAATAAATGATAAAGGACCAAGAAAACCCCAGTAATATAAACTCAAAGAAATTAAGCAACAAAGAGATTTCATAAACAGGGCTAACAAAAACGAACTTGCACGAACGCTGAAAAGTTTAGTCGACTTCCATTGCTGAGAGTGATTCCCTTAAAATTTCGCTTAGCTCCTCCATTCGCTGCTTTGCCAGCACAATGCAATCCTGTAAGAAGCAATATGGGGATAATCAGCGTTACAAACTGTCCAGTCAGGTACAAAACAACCATCTATATTAATGAAACATCCAATTTAATATTGCTTAAAATGAACAAACTTAAAATTAATATCCCTTAAACTTCTGGCTATGGAGTTTAAACTTTTAAGTAAAGATTCATATAAAACAGATTATCTGTTTCCTTTGAACATTTCTCATTTTCTTTAGCTGTCTTTTAGTTTTTTTTTTTGCAAACTTTCAACAAACTAAATAGAAAAATATAAAAAACAATACAGGGGAGATAACAACGAACCTTAACAACAGATGTATGCAACAGAACTGCTCCACCTGCTTTGTATAATGACACCAATCTCTCTTTTGAATCTAACACTACAGTAACGTGGGTGTCCATTACTGATTCTTCTTCCGAAGTTGGGTCCGCTAAAATATACTTACCATGGACTATGCATGTTAGTGAGAACGGGGCAACTGCAATAGTGAGCTTTCTATTTTCTTTATTCACTGGCTCTACTGCTGCTTTGTCTTTCAGTTCTTCAGACACAGTAATCAATTTTCCATCATCACTTAAAGAAACTAAAGGAATCTGCACTGCAGGTTAAAAAAGCTTTAAAAATGTTTAAGAAAATAAAATTAAAGCTCAGCAAGAGATAAGATCAAGATAAAGATAGATAGATTTGAGTTGTTTTGTGAGTAGAGTAACGAAATAATAATAGATCAATTAAAGCAGATGTACAAACTCAGTTTTAACAACATCAACAATGTCTAATATTACAGAGAAGGTGATGCAAATTTGAATGTGTTGAATGTGAATGCAATTCATCTGTATTGATACTTAGTTTTTCGTTTCCTCATTTCAAGTGAATGAAAATAACTACAAAGATGGCTCTTAAATGAACGGAAAATGTTCTCTGGTATTTTGAACATCCATTAGGTCTAACTCATCGCAGCATAGTTCCAACTCAGCCAATTGAATTCCAATCAGCACCTATGGAGTTCGGAATCATTACCACAATGAGAATTGCTAATGACTCCCTGTTGCTATTTCTATTTCCACTAAGTGATATAGTTCCATATGTTGTTGATGTTTCTGTGTATACAGCTGCTGCTCACATTGTTTTCCCAAGTTGATTGATTCCACACTGTGTTTTCCCTCTGGGGCTCGCGTATTATCACTGTTGTCCACCTTTTGATTACTGTTATTACTGTGTGTCACCTTCCCTCTGTGCCATTGCCAGCTAAGTTACAGTGCCACCCTTCTATTTACACCGCTTCATGCTACAATCCCGAACACCATCCCCTTAACTTGCTATTCCAGGCTATGTCCAGTTCCGTATTTTATGGTATCAATCTAGTTTTTGTCAGGTCCTCAAGCAATTAATGAAATGGAATTTACTCTACTGCTGGAAAATTGAAGAATGCATTAAACATCATGTTTGTGAGTGGATTTTTATAGATGACAAAAAGTTTCTAATTTTAAGTCTTTTTTAAGATATAAATAGGATCCATGAGACATGGACATTGAGTATTAAAATAGAATTCTAGTTTTTTTTTTCTATTCTTTTCTGTGTGATTATTGGATGTATATTTTCAAGTGCTTTACTAGTGTTGATGACTACTTTCAAAGCTTGTTGACCTCTGTATGTGTCGCAATCAATTCCAGTGAGTGCAACATAACAATAATTGATATATGCAACATCATGCAAAGCAACTTTGCATGTCATGACCATGATCAAAACCACTCAAACATTGTTTCTTTGTGAGATGGATCATGTTGATGCTTCCAGGGCGTCGAAGATACCAAAGCACATTATGCGCGCAACTCGATCGAACAATAGCAAAAAGCAATATTCTGTGGGCGTGACGTTGCATGAGATCACTCAAATGTTATTCATTCGTGAAGTAGACCATGTTGATATGTCTAGAATGTCCAAATTGCCTAGATGAGACCTTTCACAATCAATTCAAGTTAATGTAGTTGAAAACAACAATTTACGGTCACGATGCTGTGCAAAACCGTCTGAATGCCGTCCGTTAAAAAAATAAACCTAACTAACGCTTCCAAAACCTCAAGATTATTTAGAAATGACACCCATATTGAATGGATCGCCGCACAAGTCAAAACACAAAAAATTGCCAACACACAATGTGATGGCATCCAAATCGAGACATACGAGAAATGTGAAATTTTGTGATGGTAATTTTTATTTGAATTTAGAAAAAAAACATATATGAACTTCTATAATTAAAAAAATCCTATATCTTATCCTATCCATGTCAACCCATTAGAAACAACGGCCCAGCTCCTCCTGTCACCTAAAAGAAAAAATTAAAATTAAAATTTAAAACCTAAAAGCTAAAGCTCCTATCCATCACATTTTTTTGATTCGCACGTCAACCCAGCCCTCTCTTGTTCTAAACCTAGCCCACTGAACCACCCCACTAATGTCACCAAGCCCGCTAGGCATCACCTGTGCCATCCCAGTGTCGCCACTTTATACACTCACCTCCAACTGCTACTCCTCTGCCTCCTACCAAAGCCACCCAACACCTCAACCAAACCACCTAACTGACCACCAACAGCTATATTTCTGTATCTAAACCGTCACTCTCTCCTCCTCACTTTCTCTCTAAACAAGGAAAAAATCTCACCATTCTCTCTACAGACTCTCTTATCATCCCTCTTTCCCCATCTAAATCTCCATCTCTCTCTAAAATAAAGAGAGAATCTCTCTAGCATGCCCTTTTTCTCTCTTCACCCCACTCTCCCTCTCCCTCTCCCTCTATATTCAGCTCTCTTTAACTCCTTCCTCTTTCTAAATAGAGAGAGAAACTTCTTTCTTTAATCCCTAACTCTCTATACACACACACATACACATTAAAGAAATGGGATAGGAATAGAAAAACAAAAAAACTGCAGAAGAGAGAAAAATTAAAAAGAGGAGATAAAAAAAAATTATGTTTTTATCACCTTATAAAATTTCATCTTCGAATCATCACAATTGTCTCATGCAAAGGTATAATTTCAAAATCTCAAAATTAAGTACTCATGCATGTTATTCTAATGTGATAGAGACATTTGTATAATTAAGTACCCATACATATTGTTCTTATGCGGCAGGAAAATTTAAAAATAAGTACTCCTATGCGTTGCTCCAACACAGCGAGGAAATTTGTGCTTTCAATCGCATAGATGATGAGGAAACTGCACATTTATTTATAAGTGTGTCAGGGTAAAAAAACCCCTAGCTATAGTGTCACGCGACACCAATCATTCTACATCTTTATAAGCGTGATGAGCAGGCTAGCACTACCCGTAGATGCCCCCTATGCAAGGGAGTTACCTAGAGGCTACTGAATTAGTTAATTTCATAATGATATATTTAAATAAAATGCAATTGAATAAAATTTGCAAAAATGAAAAAATTGCATGAATTAAAAATGGGCTTAAAAGGGATTTGTAATGAATTTGAAAAACTAATTTGCGAGCACAAAACTTCCCTGCCACTACTAATAAATACCTGTGCAAGCATAGAACTTCTTTGAAAATAAGTAAATAACATAAGGTGACTTAGATATGAACAATAAAGGATAAAAAATATGTCCATTAGTACAACTTTATAAAATCAATGTTAAAGAATTGAAAAAGAAAATAGGAAGATCTAATATTACATGAATAGAAATTGGTCAAGATGATTTGTAGAAACTAGGTTTAACTCCTTATACAAAATTTAACATGAATGAATAGAAAATGAGGATTCATAAAATATAGAGGTTTAGACTCCCATGTTAGTTACAAGCATTAATATGATATCAGAGTAAAAAAGTCTTGAATTTAAATCCTAATCTCGCCATTCGTTTTACAGCATTAAAACAAATTTATGGTCTACTTATATATTTTACTTATTTCGGCACAAAGCTGCATAAGCTTGATTAACGCTTGAAAAGTCAAATGGAGAATTGCACAAGATGGCATATTTAGAATATAAAGTTAATTCCCACGCATTCATTTATAGCCTTAAGATTTCAGTTTAGTTCGTTATCAAGTTACACACACACACACAGCTAGTGTGCATGAAACCAAAAGGTAACACTTGGTGCATTATAGAACTACCACATGGCAAAATATTGAATTTAAATTCAAACATATTTAAAAGCAAACAATCATATCATGAATATCATTAATTTTAAATTTGAATATGATTGGCACATGATGTAATTTAATTTTCAAGATTTTAAGTTAGAATTTAAACAATTTCAAAAGAGAACTATCCTATCATGAGTTCATTTCTTTTAAATTTGAATTGACACATGATGAAATCTTAAGTTTTAAATTTAATTTTAATTAATATTTAACTAGAATATAAAGCGAGTCATTATTTTTAATTTTTAATTTAAATTGAAAATTATAAATATTTCATTTATATTAAATCATGTATGTTAACTATTGACCTCACATAGTGGGATAAAGGCTTTATATTGTTATTATTATTGCATGTATATCAACTATTTTAATTAATTTAAATTCAATTGTATTGCAATTCAAATTTAGTTGCTCAACATTAAACCACTTTAACACAAGTTATGACCTTATAATACAACTAATAATTTTATCTATTTATATTCTTTTTATTATCCCTTGCAACAAAGGGTATTTGTCTGGTTTTACGTTTGTACCTGTAGCAGAAAGAGAATACAAAATCCTGAACAACGGAATCATATCAGGAGAGATGGAAATAATTAGCCATAGAATTGCAAGCTACACACACCACGTAATAATGTTATTCAATAGGAGAGGATCATACCACATTCTGAGTACTGTGTAGCAAGTGTTCACATGTGTGATATTCAAAAGAACACAATATATAACTTGCAGGCTTGCAGCATAATAAAAGAAAACTTACAATGAGAAAATGCAGCCGTTGCTGAGAGCAATGCAGCATCAAACAGAGAACCATCGGCATTAAGACAATAAATGTCCTGCAATTCACAGTTAAATATCTTGTCAAACGGTTAAAAGGCCGACAGTTAAGAACACATCTATACCACTAGACTACAAAGCAATTATAGAAACCATTAATAGATAGGATGAAGTATCACGAAGTCACACTCAAAAGAATTAAAAAAAAGTTCCGTACCAGGTAGGCCATCCAAGCAGCCTTTCCACTGATCAAGGAGAGCTCTTGCAAATTTATCATGCCAGAACTGTAGTTGTAAAATAAAAGATCTACCATAAATTTGCATATTTAAATCAAAACATATAATGCTTCCATATATGTTAAATTCGCCTTAAAAGCAATGTAAAATGTTCTAATCTTTAATTAAAGTAAGTGTACTAGAAAACCTTGGATGATGATAACATATTATCATGCTTTGAAACTAAAAAGTACAGTTTTAAGTAAGTTTTCATGGATGTGCTTAAGTAAATGTCTTTGAACATAGGTACTAAATCAGAATAAATGATGACCAGCTTTTCTTAAAGAAACAAAAGTGAGAAGCCATCCGGACCTAGTGATTTGGAAGCACCAAGAGAGAAAACATTCAATCTGCTCCCGTCCAAGAAAAAAAGATCATCTAAGCAAGTGACAAGGTGACAATTAACAATCATCCAGAGGATAAAGTCTACGGTAGTCAACCACAAACTTGGAGACTGAGCAATTATTACTAAAGAACATTTCTACCCCAAGAAAGGAAAACAAGAGCAATATTAGCTTGGATCAACAGTAAAAAAAATAAACTGATTTTGAAAAAGGTATAATCTTTCCAGCATTTCTACCCTACTGATTATTCAACTTAGTTTTCTCTAACTGGAGATATTTTCAGTAATATTATGCTGAATGCCTTATGTATAGCTAAAAACTTATTTTATTCAATTTAGAAATAACATACATAATCAAGTCAATTGCAAAGCATCAAGTTTATCATAATGTTTGGAAAGTTTTCAAGAAGGGCTATGATTTATTTTGTGCCTATTAGTTCCAAAAAGCCTTATTATATTGGTATTTAGCACGGTTCTAGTGTGTTTACATACTTTGCCTTCTAACATTATGATAGAAAATACTTGTATTCACAAGTAATCCTAGCCCAAATCAGTAAACCACAGCAATATTATTGCTGTCCGCAGCAGGAAATAACCACAAAACAGAGAGAAACAGGAGAAATTCACTAGAAATCTGAGAGAAAATGAAGCAAAACTCTTGTATTCCAATAGAAGATGCAAGACAACAAGCAAAGATACAATTTCCTTCAATTCGAGAGGAAGGAATTACTCTCCTAATCTCCGGCAATGCCAAGAACCCAACACAAGCAAACCCTAGATCTCAAATCTCATTCAAATTGAAGATAATCCCCTCTCCCTCCTAATCCCCCCTAATTATCATGAAAGGAGGGTTACAAATTACCTAATCACCCTTTATATTCAAATGTTTCCCCCAAAAAATTGCATTAAGCCCCACATGGGGCCCACCTGATTTCCGCCTCCTTCCTGGCTGTTTTCCCCACCTGGAATAAACCAGAACCGGTCCAGGATGGCCTGGACCGGTTCACCCGGCCCCTCTTGGGCCGGCGGCATATCACATTAGTGATGGACAAATGGTACTCATTTGAATGATACAACTCCGTTACTGAGATGAAACACCAATACTTGTTGTTGCTTCTATGGGTGGTGTTTATATAGGTCAGAGTATCCTTTTGTTTCTACCACAAATGCTTCTAATGCAGGCATCTAGGAATCTAGATTTGTTCTAACAATATGAAGATATCATTTACCAAGACTATGCTGGCCACCAATCACCACCATCATTGAACTTTATACTACATTCATTTTTCTTCAAGCCAAACAAAAAAATATTCACTTGTATTTATTTTACACTCATTGAAACAACTCTAAAGCATTAAAAAAAAAAGGTATTTTTTTATGGTGCATTCCTTTTTCAACTAGCCAAATAACTTCTTAATCTCCTTTACTCCTCAATTTTAGCTTTAAAAACATCCTAACCACATCTTCCTTCACACTTTCAAACTCAACAATAAGCACTCAAAACCAACCTCACAAATAAAAATCAAAGAAGACAACCCAATGCACTCCTATTTATAGGACTCAAAGGAGATGATTTTAAATCCAAACATGATTTAAAATTGACTTAGCCTAACAATAAATGCACTAAAAACTCTTCATCATAAGGAATTGAAGCACCTTAAAACGCAGGATGATGGTTTTTCTTTAGTTAAAAATAAAGATAGCTGTTTCAACTGCAATAGCGCTAGCAACTGCAGGGAATGTGAAAAGTCTGGATTGGCATTTTTATCAAAAGATCTCCTAGCATGGAATGTATGATGACACGTAGTGATTGTGAATAACTTTTGACAGCAACTAAGGATATTGGAAAAAGTAATGGATCATTTCAATTATCTACTCTTCTAGCCCTTGTAGATGCTTAACAATTGATAATAATTGTCCAGTTTTTGTACAAATTCTTGAAAAGCGGACTCACATTTTCAGGGATGATACTTATCTGCAGTAAACTGAAACACGTGGAACTTTTTAATTGGTTGGTTCTTGGGAATTACGTGCTACTCAATATGAGATTCCCATTATCATTGCTTCAGCTAGTCAAATTCTCAACATCATGACGTTGGCTGGGGGTGAATTATGATTCAGTATTAATGCAATATCCACAAGTGAAAGAATCAGCCATGTTTTGTTCATCCAAAATTCTTCCACAGGAGAATGAAGTACAAAGCAATAGAGTGCCACGGAACTATTGGAAGTTGAAGTTTGAAAAGAATATATATAGAACCATAAACAGAAGCCAAGATGACAAACATTTACAATATACTTCTTCAGACCTCTCAGAAATAGGCTTCTTTAGGCAATGACATGTGGTTATTGGCATTGTTTTTAGGTGCAAGTCATGGGTTACCCTTACGGACATTGGCGAACTTCTTTGAAAGTGCTAACAGTTCAAATGAAGCCACGAGGAAGTGCGCCTAAAATCTAGCATTTAGGTGTGTTTTCAACACAATTATGTTATTCACTTATTCAATAGTGCAGTCTAACTTTGTTACTGGCGTCCACTTGGGTATTTTACGTAAGGATAATATTTCCTTCGAGGAATTTGTGGGTATCAATTACACGTAAGTTCATACAAATCCCTAAAGCTAAATACTTTAATTTGAAGTGAAAGCTGCCAAAAAAACTGGCTTGATGTAAAGAAAAACCCGAAAAATATTACATTATCTGCATTTCTTTTACTTAGGAAGATGACATGTGCGTATCCAAGAACCAACAAATTGGACTACTAGGAGTCCACAAAGTGCACAAATGAAATAACAAAATTTAATGTACTCAATCCAACCATACATCTTACCACAACAAAATTGCTGTTAAAACTGTAGCATAGTAACTAAGGAGCAAGAAGACAACCTCATTATGACATCTGAGAGCTGCTTGGCAATAACAGGCGCAACCTCCGCTGGCCTCCCTGGTCTAACAACAGGAGAACAAATTGGTGGCATTTGAAAATCAACAGCTGAAAACCACGCAGGCATAACCATCCCAAAATTAACTGTTCCTTAAAACTACGTTAAAAAGGGAAATATAAGCATGATGCAACAAATAAACACCAACCTACGCTTCCCACGTCAGGGGAGTCAATAGAGGGGGTCATAACTTCCAGTTTAATAGCTGCTAGCACAGTCTGCAAGTAAGAAGCATTTCATCAAACACCTGGTAAGCATAAAAAAGCATAAGCAAAATCAGGTAGATTAGGAGGACAAAGCTCACGGTATCTCCGATTTTTACTAAGGCGGATCCGTCGGCAGAAGTTACGGGTCCTGATGGAGAGAAATATCCCACGAATGAAATGATTTAGATGGGGATAGTTGGTTGAAGATGGAAAACTTAAGAGGTTGGTGGGACAACGAACCGAGAGCGATGGTGGTATCTCTGGCGCGGCCAAGAGCTCGACTATCTGGGCGAACGGACTCTGCGAGATGGCGCTCATAATACTGTAGGGGAAAGAGGCGGTGGTAGGCCTCCACCTCTATCTCGGCCGCAAGCCCCGACTCCGGCTTATAGCCTTCAGTTGACGTCATTTCCACGCCAGAATTCTTCCTCTAGTTATCGGATCAACAGCGACGTTGAAGCCGGCGATTCAAAGACCAGAATGTTTAAAAGATTTGCGGTGCTCGGCGCGAGGTGCCAATCTGAGCGAACCGTGGCGAATGTTCGAAAAGGTTGCAACTTCATATGGAAGGCTTATTTCATCGATAGTGAATAAATATTTTATGTTCGTTTAAGCTTCACTTTAACATAATTTTGCATGAAAAAATCTACTTTATATGCTGTAGAGAGGAAGCTGTCTTTTTATTCTTCTGATCATTTCTAGTTTGAGCTTTAACTTAAATGATTAAAAAAAATTAAATTCGAAATAATATCCAAAATTTTCAGCAAAAATATACATTTTTTTTAATTAAAGTATACTCTAAAATATCAACTTTCACAAAAATTATAAATAAATCATTAATGGGAGCATATTGGTATATAAAATGATATATTAAATTGTAAAGATTTGAAAGTTATTGAATTAGTTTTGATTGAATTTTTTTTTCTCTCAAGTTTTAAATCTAATATTACTATTCAATTATATGAATTACTGTAGTTGGGCATTTACTTGGTGGTAGCGCCAAAAACTTTGTATGGCATGCATTGGTGGAACAGTGGTGAAGCCAGAAATTATGTTTGCCGTCTCATTATCGGGCGGTCTCCGTTTGGGGGCGAGATGCATATATAAATATAAAATTTATAATTCTCTTATTTAATTTCATATCCATCAAGAAATTTCATATGCATATATAAATTGAAATAGATTTTTATGACTGAATTTTTGTATTTATGATTAAAATTTATTTTATAATTATTAAACTAACCTAATAAATCTCAATATAAAATCACTAAAATTTAAATGAAATTCATTATATTCATGAAATAACTAATGTTTAAAAAACGTTTTTAATTAAAAATTAAAAATTTTTTAAAACATTTTTACAATGTGTACATCATAGCTAATCTCATAAGAGAGAGAGTGGAAAATAAATCAAAAAATTTAAAATCATCTCACCCTCATGGGAGAGAGGGGTAGAGAGAGAGAGTAAAGATGGCTATAAGCCTATAACTTATAATAAGTACTAAATAATAAAAGGTTGCGGGTGGTAAAAAAATGTCAAGAGAGAGAGAGAGGAATTTTGTAAGGAACAAAAAATTTAGCCCCGAGAGATTATTCTGTGCTGACACCGGACGAGAGAACCGTCCAGTTTACGCTTAGGTACCGAGCAGCGATACTCGGTATTAGATTTGGCGCATTTTTATTGGAGCGGGTAGGCACGTGAGGAGTTGGAGTGGTTGCTGGCCATAGTTGGGAGGAGATCAGGTTAGGAATGAAAAGAGAAGAAAGAGAGGAAGAAGGACAAAAAAGAAGAAAGGTAAGAATGTGTTATTTTGTATATAAAGATTTATTATGTGCAATTGAGTAGTTTGTGTGAGGTGGCCATTTAAATTTATCTAATTGTTGTGTAAGAGTTCTGTAGTAAATATGGGGGAAATTCATGGATATTTGTTGTGTATGAGGAGAGAGAATGAAAAGGGTAAGTGTGGTGAAAATTGATTAATTGAGTAAGAATGAAATTATAAATTTAAGCTAGTCGAGTTGTTTCGGGTACCTTACACATGAAGGCAGGTACAATGTCACACTACACGATACATCCTACCAATAGTGCAGGGTTTAACGAAGAAAACATAGCATTCCTAACAGTCAACATTTAAATCTCTTAATCGTTTATATATATTCCTTCTACAACACAACACATTATCTAAATAAACGGTAACATTTACATAGTTTCACTTATATCATAAATACCATTACATAGCTACTCAGAAATTCAAAACAATATAATGATAAATGGTCTATATACCTATGTTGTAGACTCGCATACACAACTAAATAATTGAACATAAAGTGTCATTAATATGATGATAATCTGCTTCCACTTACGGTTATATAAAATTGTAAGCAATGAAACTGGTAAAGTCGTGCAATTCTAATAAAAAAAATTCAATAAAACATTATAGTGAATAATATAATTGAAATCATTGAATAACACTCATAAGAAAATTACAAAATATCTTAAAATATATTCAAGATCATATTTCATTTTATTTGAAGCCTCTGTATAATATCATTATTAGTTAATTCAATTTATGTATATTATATTGCATATAGTAATGTAATTTTATAGCTTTCATCATATTGTTTAATGGAACCCAGGTAAATCAAACATTATTGTCATTGAACTACATTGAGGTCCATTTTGCTCTTTTGGGATCTCTTTTGTCATACATGTGCTGGTATTATATCATTTCATTGTCAACATTAATTTACTAATATGATATTAATTAGCCTTCAAAATTATGAACTCATACTTAGTTTGTCATACTTCATGAATTAATATAAAAGATATTTCTATTATAAGGCTTGCATAAGAAGAATAATTAAGCAATACATAACTTAATGCTTTTCTTTTCAAAATGTTGTTAAATATAAAATATTTATGTAATCATATTATATCTTATTTTAAGATTTAATTATTCGAATTTGTATTTGGTCATTCATATATGAATACTTGATTGTGAACACTCTCAACAAAATGATTTTTTTAATGTCTTTCTACTATCAATTAATTCAAACACAATTGTATATGCCTAAATTTAACAACCATCGCTTTTAAATTAAAATTGCATTTCTTACCTCTGTGACAAATTGTCTCCTCAATTTCGACACCTCGTATCATTTTTCAATTGTAAATTACAACATTTACATAGTTTCACTTATATCCTAAATACCATTACATAGCCACTAAGAAATCCAAAACAATATAATGATAAATGGTCTATATACCTATGTTGTAGACTCGCATACACAGCTAAATAATTGAACATAAAGTGTCATTAATATGATGATAGTCTGCTTCCACTTACGGTTAAATAAATTTGTGAGCTATGAAGCTCATAAAGTTATGCAATTCTAATAAAAAATATTCAATAAAACATTATAGTGAATAATATAATTGAAATCATTGAATCAAACTCATAAGGAAATTACAAAACAGCTTTAAATATTATATTCAAGATCATATTTCATTTTATTTGAAGCGCTGCAGGAAATTTAGGTATTACCAACGGTCGTTACTGGCGGTCCTATAGCCGCCGGTAATATTTGAGGTTAAACTGGCGGTCTAACCGACAATTTTTTATAAATCATCACCAAAATTAGCGGTGGTATAATAATCAGCGGCTAGTGCGCCAGTTTTATTTTTTACCTGCGCCTTTATATGCAATTCTAATAAAAAATATTCAATAAAACATTATAGTGAATAATATAATTGAAATCATGGAATCAAACTCATAAGGAAATTACAAAACAGTTTAAAATATATTCAAGATCATATTTCATTTTATTTGAAGCGCTACAAGAAATTTAAGTATTACCAGCGGTCATTATCGGTGATCCTATAGCCGCCGGTAATACCGGAGGTTAAACTGGCGGTCTAACCGACGATTTTTTATAAATCGACACCGGAATTAGCGGCGATATAATAACCGGCGGCTAGGGCGCCAGTTTTCTTTTTTACCTGCGCCTTTATCGGCGGCCTTTGCCACCGGTTTTAAGTGATTTTTTTCCAGCGGTCTAAATCGCATTAAATGCCCCTAAATTTAGCCATCCCGAGTCTTCCTCTTCATTTCTTCGCATTTCTCTCGCTGCAGACGCTCGCCCCCACTCTCCTCCGGCCTCTCATGATCGATCGCGCCTCCGAGCGAATGCTTAGGAATCCGGCTGCCTACAACCTCCCTCCGGCCAAAAGTTTCTCGACCCCACTTCGATAGCCGAGCATGCCTGCAATCTACCCGCGAAGCCGTCCAAACCAAATTTAGGTTTGCTTCTTTTTCCTCAAAATTGTAATTGGTGGTTTGAACAAGTATTTTCTTATTTCGCTTGGATTAAATTAAGGATCAACATTAAGTCCATATCTTTTTGCTCTTGTCATGAATGTTCTCACTAGACATTTGCAAGAGGATGTATATTGGTGTTTGTTTTTTGCTCATGTTATTCTTCTTGTTGATAAGAGTAGAGAGGGAGTTCAAGGTAAACTTGAATTATAGAGGTCAACCTAGCTTAGAGGATGTACCTTTTGTGTTTGTTTTTTGCTCATGATTTCACAACTTGTTGATAAGACTATAGAGGGAGTTTAAGGTAAACTTGAATTATGAAGGTCAACCTGGCTTAGAGGCTGCTTAGAGGATGTACTCAACTCCCCTTTTGTAATTATGTGAATATATTCATGCTACTTTCAAGTCAAAGTGACTATACAAAGTGACAAGTAATCCTAACATCTAGGGTTGTTCATAAACTTACAACTTTTCCTTTTTCTCGTTTGCATGTGTTTATTTTTAAGACATAGATCATGACAAGAATGATTTGCGATGTATAAGTGTATGTATTGAAGTTTATGAACTTTAATAGTTGTTTTGCAAGTGCTTGATTATAAACTTAATCAACTTAGAAGCATTAAGTCATTGTGAGATCTATCATATATCTTTCAAGGTTTATATTGCAGATCCCATAAATGACATTATCAATTAAGTTTGTGTAAAACACGTTGCAAAATGAATACCCTAGACCTTTACATGCCTAAGATTTGCAAAATCATAAAACATGTTTATAAAATTTATAAGTGCTTGTGAAGAAAGGGTGGAAGTATTTTATGACTTTTAAGGGCTAATAGATATATTCCCACCATATATTGGAATTTGTTAAACATGTTTAGTAGAGTTTACAAGTTAATTGGCCACACATAACAACGAATGACTCATATATTTGTCGGCATCCTAAAATGACAAACCTATGTATGCATGCTTTTCTAGATCCCTAGACCATGACAAAATTGATCTTTAGGGTCTATCTAGATGTTTATCAATGATGATTTCACCTATACACTTCTAAGATATTCAAATCATATCAAATTTGATTTTAAAATTTCCTAGGAGTTATAGGAATGATTTCCCCTCTCCATGATGAGTCCAAAACACTCAAATCAAAATAAGGAATCCCCTTTCAAACGCTCTTTCCTCTTATGTGTGATGTTTTGGAGTTTCCTCAAGACTCCAAATCCTTTATTCTATAGATGGTGGTGAGACCTACAATACTTTATGGTGCCGAATATTGGCCATTAAAAGAGAAACATAATACTGAGCTAAGTGTTGCATAGATGAGGATGCTAAGGTGGATGAGTAGCTTTACCCTTAGAGATATGATACGAGACATTATCCGAGTTTTCCATTTTGTCACATAAATTATTTATTTTGTATTGTTGTATTTATTGGATAGTTGGTGAATGCATTCTAATTCAAATAAAGTACACTTATTTAAAAGTAAAGCACGTACACTTGTTCAGGCTGCATATCTTCAAATAATTGATTTCATAGCTATGTAGGGAAACGTTTGTTTTAACATCCAAATTACTATCCAAGAAGATAGATATTGAACGTATAGTTGTGGGTTGATTATAGTAGCGTGTTACCCATATTTGTGATAATTGTTATCTATTATGTGCAGGTTTGTGGAAACTTGAGTAAATAGATGGGAGGTTGTCAAATTTTTTTAAATGCTACAAGTTTTCGGCGGTCAATCTGCTATTTGGCCACTGAAAACTTCGATACCGGACTGCTTATTATAGCCGTCGTAAGTTTAATAAAGCTGTCGGCGGTCAACTGACGGTAACCCGACAGCTTAGTCGCTGGTAAAACCTACCGTTTTGACGGCCGGTAAGCCGCTGGTGATTAACCGGCGATCAATTGGTGGTGACCCGGCGCCGCCGGTAACACCGGCGGTTTTGACGGCTGGTAAGCCGCCGGTGATTAACCGACGATCACCGGCGCTAAGACCGCAATAAATTATCGATTGTTTAGGCCACCGAAAAGCCACTGGTAAGTATCACCACCATTAATAATTTTCTACGCGGTTTATTCCGGCGGTTTTCTATGTTGGTTGTAAATTGTAAATTCCGTTAATAAATTGTCTTAACAAATGATTCATGTTGATGGAATATTCATCTGAAATTGTTTTGAGGGAATTTTTTGTCGTAATATTCTTCAATAATCATTGATGAAATTTCTATGAGTAATATTGCTGACAACAAATTGTCGCAAACAATCCATTAATTTTTTGGATGAAATTGTGACAAAGTTTGTGCTGCTATGGGTGTTTTATTGATGAGAAATTATTCTGTGTGGAGTTTGGACTGAAAGAACAATTTGGATATGTTAGTGTACGAAAAAAATGTACACAATGTGTATCAAGTTTTTGTACACATTTTTGTACAATGTGTACACTCCTAATTCAGACAGTTTTTTCATCTGGACTCCACATAATAATTTCTCTTTATTGATAAGTCTATAGTTATCAGAACTCATGTTTCTCATTGATTTTTCTTTATTAATAATTGACATTCCGGTTTGTGATAGGCTTTTTTTTTTTATAATTTTTTAAAACATGCAGAGTTATAAAATTATCGTGGAGAGAATAATCTATTTTAAAGTTGTCGGAGACAATAGTTTTCTAGCAAAAAATTTATTTGTAAAGTTATATATATATAGAGAGTAAGAAACAAAGCCCTACATGGGTCCTGGTTCGGTACCCATTGGGTGCCTATGCTTTACTCGGACGGGCTTCGCCCACCCACACCCACCAATGGTGACTTTCGGGATGCCATACCCATCTATACCCACCCACTTTACATGCTTTTTGAATGCAGTCTACCACAGATTGATAGCCTTGAGAATTGTTTCCCTTTGCTATGATTGTAAACTTTTAAGACGCATATCAAAATTTATAGTAGCCACAGTATGGTTAAGTGCTGCACATTACATAATGAGGATTGCAGTAATATAAGATATATGATGATTAGCAATGTAAATCGATTTATCCCTCAATGTTGAGTACCCACTCATACCCACCCAGAAGGCCATGGACGTACCCATACCACCCATACCCATCCATACCCATTGGATATGGGTGGGTACATGGGTGGGTGTGGGTATAGATACCCAATGCAGGCTCCCGTAAGAAAGTGAAATACTGAAATGTATGTATGTTATCGGGCAGTATGAACTTTGCTTGTTCAACAAACGGGTCGAACCAAGTTACCGGTTCAGTCGGCTCTGGATCCATGACCCGAAGAGGCTTAACCTGTCAATTCGGAAACCTTTGTCTAGCAAACGATCACATTCCGTAACCGCGCCGAAGTAGGGTTTGCTCTGTCTTGCCGATATATGCCACAGATCACCGGCGACCAACAGCTTTGGACAATTCCTGTAATGTAATTGCTGCGATTTCACGGTTTTAGTTGCAAATCGGTATTTTCGTGTTCTTTTTTCACTTAAGACTGTGTTTTGACGTCATGAATTTGAGTGAAATGAAATGGGGAAAAAAGGGTTGAAAGCTTAAATTAATGGCCGCAGTTTCATAATCAACCCATGAATTGTCGTTCAATCCGAACAAAGCTTAATACCCATTGAATTATATTTTAGACACTTTTAATGTTGATGTCGAACATTCTTTGGATTTTGTTTTATTGAACTAATGAAATTACTATTATATTTTCTTATGCTTCTTCAAGTTTTAGGTGTGCTTATAGAGATGGCGGAGGAGAATCCATCCAACTTGAAGGATGAGATTACCGAGGTACCTGCTTTATTAATTTTGGATAGCTTTCATCTCGAAATTTAGCCAGATAAACATTTTGTGTTTCTCTCTTGTAATCTTTGGGCGAATGTAAAGAAATGTTGACTCTCACTTATCTAACAAACATTAAAAAGAGTACTAAATCCTATAAAAGAAATAATTTTAGTGTTTTCTTTTGCTGTAGCTTGCCTCGTTCGATCCTTCTAAGAAAAAGAAGAAGAAGAAGGTGATAATCCAAGATCCTAATGAGGAAGTGGACAAGCTAGTTGAGAATACTGAAAATTTATCAGGTTTTTTCATCATGCGCTTTCCATTGCAGCTCAGTTGTTATTAAAATATTATTAAAGATAGTTTTTTTGTTAATAAAAATAAAATTTTTTATCATGATTTAAATGCACACTGATATGATGGTTCTTGTCCAGTTGCTGATACACCGGAGCCTAACTTTGCTGGTATGAAGAAAAAGAAGAAGAAACCGGTCAGTTAATTGAAGCTCATACTTGATAAGAAATGAACTTATGTAATGCTGAAGAATGTTGTTAACTCCATAGTCCTTCCATCTTAGGTGGAAACTGACTTCTTGATTGATGACGAGAATGCTGATGATGGGGCGGATGCTGAATGTAACGACTTGTACATCTTAGTTCACAAAGTGCCATCTTTTTATGATATGGATTTTTTCAAAATAATAGTTGGAGATCCTTTATTTCTTTTAGGATTTGTTTGGGATAGCTTTCTCTCTGCTTTAAAAAACAGTTTTTTTAGTACAAATAAAAATTTTGTATTAAAAAGTTGTTTTAGAAAGCAGCAAAAAATTGTCCCAAATGAAACCTTAATGTTTTGTTCAATCATCAAATTGACTTTGGGAAAGTATAGACGTCTTTACTGTTTTTCATTTTCCTTCATGTTTTTCAGATGATCAAATTGGTGAGGATGATGAAGGGGAGGGAATTGTGCTTGCAAGTGTAAGATATCCTTGGGAAGGCACAGTTCGAGATTATAAATATGATGAGGTGATTGGATTTTTCTTTTTTCACCTTCATCGGCCTGCTGTTTTTTATTTTTGCTTGCCTTGGTTTATGTTTCAAAGACAATATTTGATCTTTCATTTAAAAGGTGTTTGCTATGTGTTCCTATACATTAAATAATGATTTTCTATACTTAAAAAATGGTATTTTATAATTTCAGTTATATTCAAGTTTATATTATGTCATAAGGAAAATGCCCTTAAAACACAGTGGGAGTTTTACATTTACTATTTCCTTAGTGCTTTCTAAGAAATTCAACAAAATTTTCCTCTTTTATTTCTTAAACTTGATAATACAAAAATAAACATTTCTTTACTCAATGGCCACAGAAAAAATTTCAGTTGCATCACTTGCATTTGTTCACTTTATGATAATATTTACAATATGGCTTAAACATTGCTCAATATGGCATGTTTTGAGGTTTTTCTTAGGTGCTTGTTTGATGCTCACAAGAATCCATCGCTTGATTTAGTTTGCTTGATCCTATGTTCATTAGTGCTATTCTCAAATCCTTGTTTAAATTTTCATGTCAACATCCTATAGTACAATTAAGTTTGTCTTGCTTTTTTACTTTTATGCCATTCTTTCGTACCCACCCATACTACCATATGTATATAACTTTTATGAAACTTATAGTGGTTTTACTGATATGATTTGTGTTTTTTAGCTTTTGGATAGAGTTTTCAATATCTTGCGAGAAAATAATCCTGATCTTGCTGGAGACCGGCGCCGAACAGTTATGAGGCCACCACAGGTTCTTAGGGAAGGAACTAAGAAGACGGTATTTGTTAACTTCATGGACCTATGCAAGACGTAAGGTTCAACATATTTATGAAGAATATAAATAACCTATTTAAGTTTTTCACTTGGAGAGCTTTTTTATGTATTTCTTTCTTTAAGAATTTCTGCTAGTCATGAATGTTTGCCAAAGATTAGTAAGTTATCATCATTTTTCTTGATTTTTTTGGGAATTTCTTAATAGATTCATTAATTCACAACTTTCATTTAGACATATAGAAGTAATGCCTTAGAATCGTAATGCTTTGTTATAATGATCACATCATCAACAGAATTCAATAAAATTATATTTTCTAGAAGATATATGATAAAAATTGAAGAAAATCAGTTGAGGTGTTCATTCTAATATTTGTATTAAGGATGAAGATAAAAAAAACACTTTTCTTGGAAGATGATATTCAACAAAGGTGGATGAGATATTTTGCTAAAATTTTTAATGAAGAATGTGAAAATACGATTGACTTTAGCGACCTCAGCATCCTAAATGAAAAGAAAGATTTATGTTTTTATCGGCGTATTAGTATAACTGAAGTTAGAGAGGCTTTAAAGAAAATGAAGTATGCAAAAACTGTTGGACCTGATGATATTCCAATAGAGGTGTGGAAATGCTTAGGAAATGAAGAAATTTCTTGGCTTACTAAACTTTTTAATACTATTTTGAAGACTAAAAAGATGGCAGATGAGTGGAGAATGAGTATGTTAATTCATATTTTTAAGAATAAAGCGATACACAAGATTGTGCGAGTTATAGAGGAATTAAGTTAATGTGTCATACTTTAAAACTATTGGAGCGAGTTATGGAGCATAGGTTGTGGCGTGATACTAATGTTTCTCAAAATCAACTTGGATTCATGCCGAGTAGGTCTACTATGGAAGCCATACATTTATTGAGAGGTTTGATGGAGAAATATAGAGAGAATAAGGAGGATATGTATATGATATTTAATGATTTAGAGAAAATATATGATAAAGTTCCAAGAGAAGTGCTATGAAGAGTTCTTGAAATGAAAAAAAGTTAATAATACTTATATTCAAATCATTAAAAATATGTATGCAGGAGTTATTACTTGTGGTTTGATCAAGTATTTCTTATTTTTGTTAGATTACATCAAAGATCAGCCTTAAGACCATATCTTTTTGCTTTAGTCATGGATGTTCTCACTAGACATTTGCAAGAGGATGTACCTTGGTGTATGTTTTTTATTGATGATATTCTTCTTGTTGATAAGACTAGAGAGGGAGTTGAAGGTAAATTTGAATTATGGAGGTCAACCTTAGAGTCTAAAGGTTTTCACCTAAGTAGATCTAAAACTGAATATATGGAGTGTAATTTTAGTAGTAAAAGACCTAGTGAGGGGATTTTGACTTTGGGCGAGCAATTCATTAATAAGAGTATACGTTTTAGATATCTTGGATCTATTGTTTAGAGTGATGATAAAATAGATGGAGATATTATCAGCATAATTCAAGTTGGATGGTTGAAGTGGAGGAATGCATCGGGCTTGTTGGGTGATTGAAAAATCCCCTCAAACTTAAGGAAAAATTCTATAAGATGGTGGTGAGACCTGCAAAGCTTTATGATGCCGAATGTTGGCCATTAAAAGAGAAGCATAATACCAAGTTAAGTGTTGCAAAGATGAGGATACTCAAGTGGATGAGTGGCTTTACCCTTAGAGATAGGATACAAAATGAGTATATACGTGAAAAGATTGGAGTAGCGCCAGTGGAAGATAAGATTAGAGTGAGTCGCCTTAGATGGTTTGGTCACATAAAACGGTGGCCTTCTGATGCCCCGGTTAGGAAAGTAGAGGTATTAGATTTGACTTATGTTAAGAAAGGTAGAGGTAGACCTAAAAAGACTTGGTTAGAAAATATTAGAAATAATCTTTCTTTATTAGATTTAAACGAGAATTTAACTTTTAACAGGACACAATGGAGAAAAAAGATTCTTATAGCTGACCCCACGTAGTGGGACAAAAGCTTGATGTTGTTGTTAATCTAATTAGAAAAATTAAAGAGCACATTTAATTTAGTTACATTACATTTTATAAGGAATTTATCATATTGTTGCATTTTAATAAGTGCATTATTTAAATTTGTACAATTTAAGGCGCGCGCGCACACACACATATATAATCAAAATTTAGTATTTATAACAAACTCATATTTCATTAGTTTAAATATTTACAGTTGTTTTTTATTTGGTTACATACCTGAAAATTTTTCTTTCTTTTTTTTGTTCCTTTTGTAAAATAAATGATATCTTCTCTTTTTGCTTTGCTCCTCTTCTATCTTCTTACCTTTACAAAACAATTTATTAAAAATTGAACACATGTATCTTGGGTTTATCAATTTGATTATGAAAAAAATCTTGGTTAGATTTACCTTAAGTCAAGTCTTTTTGAGCGACCACCCTTGGTCTCGCTCTCAAAGGCACATTTAGACAGCTACATCCTCTCTCACATATAGCCTTGCCTCTCCATCTTCTCATCTCTCCTTTTTCCATCTGTCGCTCTCTCACTTTCTCCATCTCCTCTTCTCTTCTTCTCCATCTCTCATGCTTTCATTTACTCTTCCGCACTCGCACGAACTCCCTCTTGATTTTGCGCGCAGTAGACCATTTTGCCCCAGGCCGCCTCCTCGCATCTATATAGAAGATGGAACCGGCGCATTGGTTACTTTGAACCAGCATAGCCAGTTTGGATTTTCTTTTTATAAGAAACCGGGGTTTACATAGGTTCAGCAGGTGGAGGTCTGCTGGGTTGCTGGCTAGGGTTGAGCTTTTGGAGGCGGAGGGCGACCGTGTTCCACAATATATAACATGCTGCAATTTTTTCTACAACATTGGAAACAATGTCTGTGATTATTTTTTTCATGAATATTTAGCATTGGAAACAATGTCTTTTAATATCATCTTTTCATTATATGCATGGAGATCCATTCAAACTTTTTTTTTAATGCCATCTAATTTTTATGAATACTTAAGATGGATATGGATACTTAAGATAGATGTTCCATTAGACCATTAAGGCATCATATTTAATATTTTTTTATAAAACATATTCAAAAGCATGAAATGTTTTTGTTAATTAAATATAAATAAAACACCTTAAGATGCTCAAGTCTCATTGTAATATTTTTTAATTAAAAAAATGGTTCGTTAATAGTAATTTTCTTGCTGGTGATTGTTTTTTATTGGAAAATATTTAACGTTTTGATACTTGTCCTTCAGTCGATGTGGCCGTTGGCATTTTTGTTTATTGAAATGCAAGTCGATATGAAAGGTATAATGGACAAGAAAGAAAAATGAAAATTGTTTTTATATAGCCTAATGCACTTACTTTCTGCATCTCATTTACAGCTAAAAACAACCTTGTCTGCTGCCTGATTACTTCGTCGTGACAGTGTTGCATTTTTTAGTTTTCTATAATAGATTAACAGTTATATAATTCCTGACATATCCATGGATGCTGTAAATCTTCTCTGTACAAAGAATAATGCTATACACTCCAAACAAATTCACATATAAAATCACAATTTCATGTTTCTTGTGCATTGTTAATGTGAAAACTTATATGGCTCACATAAAAATGAGATAGTTTTACATAAATGCTGCTGTAAGGGCATCTCCAACCGAAAATCTCATTTTTCACTCCAAAATGCAGTGAAACTAAAAAATGTCGTGATTTATCTCCAATTGAACTCAATTTTGTGCGGTAACCGTCTTTCTCTTCTTTCGCGCATTTCTTCTGCAAATCTAGTAGAGACAGAAAAATAGCTTAGGTGAACAGTGCACGCCAATATTGGCGTCGCACTGTTCACCCGCAGCCAAATAGTGAAAGTTTTGCCGTTCGGCTGGAGCTCGCGAGCGACGCCATTCGTGCGTTTGGAGTTCGGTTGGAGAAGGCCTAATGCATGACAATCGAAGAAATTCATTTTATGCTGATTCGCTTTGGGAGTTGAGCATTATTGATTATTCCAATGCTACCATTTTCACATTGAAGCAGTCATCCCTAAGGTTTCGTTTGGTTGGACGTAATTATACCATTTCCGATTAGAATAGTTGCTGTTTTATGTTTGTTTAGACAAATTTTGTGAAAATCATTTTTCTAAAACTCCGTATATCTGCTGATCCGAGAAGGAAAAAATTTCTGCTTACCCGTTCTTAAAACCTCTGTTTAAAAAGGAAAAAAAGACGTTGTAAACCAAACGAGGCCTAAGAGTAGTAATGGTGATGTTGTAGAATATATTATGTTATTCCCGTATTGAGGTGTATATCTTGGAGCACTACGCGTTTCAAAGTACAACATTTCGATCATGCCAAAGCAAACAATTTTTTTTTTTTTAAATTTTTTGCTTTAACAATTTCCGCTCTTCCTTCTGATGTTTGTTTGATGCATTCTTTTGATCCCATCTTGTTCAGGATGCATAGACAGCCAGAACATGTGATGATGTTCTTACTTGCCGAAATGGGAACTAGTGGATCCCTCGACGGGCAACAAAGATTGGTTGTAAAGGGGAGGTTTGCTCCCAAAAATTTTGAGGGTATTCTGAGAAGATATGTCAGTAAGTTCACCATCACATATTACTTTTCCCTGGCCAGCTGAATGCTTCAGTTCTTTCAACTGGAAAATGTTAGGCGTCTTTCTTCCCCCATGATATTTTGTTGCTTAAATAAATTCACCACAGTAATTGTATTAATTGGCCTAATCCTTAATTTTTTCCTCGTATGAACCTTGTTTTGGAGATGTCTGCACGCAAGAGCGATAGCATAAATAATATTAACATCAATAAACCGTATTGAATGAAATCTTATTTCTCAAGTCTGTTGTATGGTTTTTGCTAAATTTCTTCCAACGGGGAAAAGTTATGCAAATCAACATTCGGAGTTCTGTTTTTTTCTTAATTAATGTTTTGTTAGTGATTTTTTTGATTTTCTTAGAATATTTAAGTTTTAGTTTTAGCAGTTATATACATTAAACACCATTGCAAAGAGCCTGAATCGCAATTTGATCGTTTAAAAGTCAACTGAATGGAATACATAATTGGTGTTATCGTCTTCCTTTTTTTCTATTAAGCTGGAATGTTTCTACTCCTCTGCAACTAGTATGTAAAGTTGCTTTATTATCACATGCTTCAACCATTTGTTTTCATTATTTGCAGATGAATATGTCATATGCAATGGATGCAAAAGCCCAGACACGATACTCTCTAAAGAGAACCGTTTGTTCTTTCTGCGTTGTGAGCAGGTAATCCTTCACTGTTGACATTATTTTTTTTAATTCTAAAGTTGGAAACAAATTTTGCAGAACTTTAGCCCATTGTAAGCAATAAAACTTTTTTTTTTAATTTTCTAGCTGCTCTGTATATTTGGTAGGTTTTTGTGCAATATTTAGAGGATGGAACTTAGCAGTGGTGCTAAGCTTTTCTAATATTTGATATTGGAAATGGTTAAAATTTAGTGTATTTTATTGGAGTAATCATCTTGAAGTTTCTTGATGGATAATAATATTAATTTGGTCCTATGATAAAATTTAGTGCATCCTTTTGACTAAACTAAAGGAATAAGGAATAAGATGATTCAAACTTATAATAGATTTTAGTAGTTTTTTGGATAATGAATTAAGGTGAGCTTCAATATTCCATAACGAAGTTACTTATTGCCGAGGATGGCTATAATTTGTGTGGAAGGGGTTGATCAATCTAAAGTAAACTTCACGTCTCCCGGAATAAATGTAGGAGGATTTACAATGCTAATGGAATAGTTGGGATAGGTTATTGATGATGATGATTGAGGATAAATTATTGGGTTTTAAAGATCAACACTAATTGATTGAATTATCCTTGCTGGTTAAACAATAAAGTAATTTAGTTTTATTTCTCCCAAATTTCAAGTAAATTTTACTGATCTCCATGGACACAGAAACAGAGCTTTACATGGAAAAAAGAAAAAAATAGCGGACAAAATTTAATATTAGTATCTTACCAAAAAAATTTTCTCAAGGAATCTTCAAATTTTAAAAATTTAAGGAGCTAAATGGTCTAGCGAGTGATCTTACTCTAACCAATTGTTTAACTCTCCGTTTACCAAAAGCCAATCGTTAGCAGTGCTGAAATTACCCAGGTCTCATCGCAAGCAATTACATTCATGCCTTTTTGTCTCAGTGAGCTTCATCATTTTTCTCACTTAGCCATTTACTATGGTTTTGGTTTCCTTTTTGAGGGCTTCAAATCTGCCATCTTACATTAAGGAATCTTAACTTATTTAAAAAAGGATTTTCATTGCTACTATCAATGATTGAAAGTTATAGTTAATGTGAGCAAAAACCATTAATTAATTGGGTATAAATTTTATTAACAAAGAATATTTTTATGAATGGCTGGTTCAATTTATAAATAATATTAGATATATTTAACATAATAAAAAACTAATATAGATGCAATAAAAGTTGATATCAATTCGATTCGAGTAAAACTTGACTTTGTTTGTAATAAAATTAAGATTTTCTGCATATTGAATATTCTCTTGTATAAATAATGTTATATACTATAATAATTATTTATTTAATACTATATTAATATTATATTATTGTAAAATTTTTTATGGAATTTCTATGTGTTTTTGCTGCAGTGTGGTTCTTCTCGATCAGTTGCTACAATCAAGGCTGGCTTTGTTGCCCGTGTTGGCCGCCGTAGAGCTGGTGCTTGATTCACTGCAGACTGCTTTGATAGCATCATCTCCTTCGCGGTGAATTTTTCCGAGTATTATAGAGCTGATTCGACATTTGAGCTTCTCTTTCTCCAAGGTTTTTGTGCTTTATTACTCCTCTTTTTTTTATCTTACAATTTGAATTCACGCCAAGAGCTGTTGAATTCTTCAATGCTGATTGCTAAATTACAAAATTACTCTTTGTATGATACCTTATTTTATTACTTTTATATTAAGAGATTTATTCATTTAATGAAATAGATAATAGATTTTAGCTTTTTTTAGCTGTCTCAAACAGATCATATATTGTGCTTAAAAAAAAATCATAAGACTCAGGCAAATCTTTGGCCATACGGTAAGATTTTCGGGTCATAGTGGCCTGGATCAATCGATCGATCTGTTGTCCCTCATTGCGTTCATCTTTGGGCCATACGGTAAGATTTTCGGGTCATAGTGGCCTGGATCAATCGATCGATCTGTTGTCCCTTTTTTTTTACATTTTTTTTTATAAATTAAAAAGTTAAATGTGTGATATTGTTTGATCTTTTACAGAAATGAGAAAAGATTCAAAGATCTTCAAAAGGAAAAAACCCACTAAAATTTTAATAAGAACCCACCGTTGCCTAGTTTGGTTGGTGGGCGAGTACGGTTGGAAACCATCCTACTCGTGCTCAATTTTTCTCGAGCGGCAATGCCTCTTAAGTGGGGCCAAATCAACTGCGGGTCAAGAGGTTTCTGGGGTGGTTGCCTCTTCTAGGTCAGTCGATGATTAGTCATGCCGTCAAGCGCCATTTCGGGGGTGATAGTTGGTGGATATCCTGTTTAAAAAAAAAACATAATCAAATTCAGCAAATCACAATTCTGAATAAAAACAATTTAATAAATAATTTAATGAAAGGATGATTTTCAATAATAAAGAATTTTGTTATAAAAAAAAACTTCAATCAAATTTTAGGTTTATGGGTTATACATATCCAAATAAAGCAGGCCTTGGCCGATGCCCCTTTGCATCGTGAAATTATTACGTGTGGAGTCCGGGCGTTGCTTTATGTCGAGGCTCCAATGAAATTGTAACATGTAGATTTGTACCTAATGTGTATAAGTATGTACACATCTTATATAAGCTTGTAAGCAGTATGTATAAATTCATGTGTCATGATTTCATTAGAGTCTGAATGTAAAGCTATGTATAAACTTCACATAATAATTTCTCATTTGCATCAATGAGCCTAACTTGGTGATTTAGTGGATCGTCGGAAGATGATACCTGCAAGAAGGATTTTAGGATTCCCAATCCAGGGAAGAAGAAGAGAGCTTTCTCAAAGCTTCAAAAGAGTGTTTTTATCATTCAATGATCTTTTCTTCTACAAGACCTCCTATTTATAAGACTAAAAGAGCATTCTAGAAAGAAATGACAACAAACTAGGTAAAGTGCTCCTAAGGAACCCTCTTAGCTTAAGATGCACCGCATCACTTGGTCAGCTAATCTTATTTGATTTATTTTGAAGTCTATTTAAGTGACTAGCGTAGATGGGGTTCACACCTAAATCTTTGATGGTGTGCTCGTTTGTAAAACTATTGAAATTCTTATTTTTTCTTATAATTCTTTATTTTCATGCTTGTGGCAAAAATAGTAAATATTATTTGCAATTGAAATCTGAAAAAAAAAGGGAAAAACGAAGCAATGGTATCATACAATATTGCCATGGAAGATAACACCAATGACTAATTGGCTGAAGAAACAATTTTCTTATTATTTTTTAAAATAGTTTTTTAACATAATTTTTTTTGAACTATACATTTTTGTATTAAAATGCTGCTTTAAAAATATTAAGAAAGATATCCCAAATAAATCCTACATCTCGCATTGCCATTTTAGTTCAAGACAGACTTTGGTTACATAAAATATTGGCCTTGCGATGATATTGTTAGGAGAATTGATGTATTAGATTCGATCTATATTAAAAAATATAGATATAGTACTAAAAATATTTGATTAGAAAATATTAGAAATGATATTTTTTATTAAATTTTAATGATAATATGCCTATTAATTGGACACCAAGGAAATAAAATGATTCATTTAGCTGACCTCATACAGTGTATTAATAAAGTTTTGTTGTTGTACAATCACTTTCATAAATAATTAATCTTTATTAGAATACATCCAATCAATTTTCTCTCAAATATTGCAGTTGAGTTCGGAGTTGTATGGCAGCAAAGGATCCAAGCCAAGGCGTCTATACTCCGAGTATTGATGTTTAGTTGTAGTTACCATTTATTTGTGATTTTTAAGAAAAATAATAACATAGCATAAAAATAAATTATGGGAAAAAACTTTTCATCAAAATTTAGTTAGTCTAAGGCTTAATTTGAGACGGCTTTCTTACTATTTCTTAATGAAGCTTTTTAGTTTAAAAATTTAAATTTTTTTACTAAAAAACTGTTATAAACAGCCGTAAGAAAATCGTACCAAACCAAACTTAAGGTTTTATTTGAAACAGCTTTTTTACTACATTCTAAAATAATTATCTTATTGAAATAAAAATAATAAGAAAATTATAACAAATAAAATTTAAGTATTAAAATTATTCTGTTTATTTCAAAATGAGTGCAATGTATAAGTAATTCATCAATAATATATTTATGCAATTATGGGCTCAATAATAACAAATTGTAATTATGGGCTCAACTATAATGCATTGCAATTATGGGCTCTTATTCTGGAATTATTATTGATAATTATGGGATCTTATTTGTAGAAGATTTTTCCTGATAAGTCTAATCAATATATATAATTTTTCTCAATATTATCCTATATCAGTATTAATCTAACATTACTACATATTACACAACAATACAGAAGAATAAACTAATATAAATTTTAAAAAATTATTTCCTCCATTTCGAAATATAAGTTTTTATTAAAAAAAATTATATTAAAATAGTATCACTTATTCCGCATAACTCTCCTCTAACATGCACGTTCAATTATATTATATGAAATGATTATAAATATGTTAATGAGCCGCGAAGCAACTCTTTCAAACCGAGACCTCCGTCAAGCTCCGTTTAAGCGCAGCAGACGAATTCGCGTTTGAGAGTATCCGAGCCCTATGCTCTTCACGCTACTGAAGGTATTCTGGGCAATCCTTATCTTTTCAAGAATTCATGGAGGAAGACCTTTAAGTAATTTAGAACTACATATTATTATTGTATTTAAATATTTAAGAAATATGAAATTATTACTCCTTGATGATTGTTAATGACTGTTAGTGGATCAAATCTCACAACTCTTGTCGATTCTGTGAAGCAAAGCTGTAAGGAATTTGTTCGAAGGATGAAACCTTACAAGTTCACAAGCTCAAATCTCTTTGAACATGCAAAAATGTTAGAGCTTCAGGATTAGTTTAGTACCATGGAAATCCAAGGGAAAATCCTCCCATCTAATATCGAATTTCAACTGCAAGCCATCCTGGTAGCAACTATTCTTACTCTTTTCTTTAAGAATTCAATCGCGGAAATGTTCACCCCCAGCCATGAAAATTTCCTAACGGTGAAGAGCAAGGAGTACTCGTTCTGCACTAATAGTAAAGGCGATGGGTATTTCCCCTTCGTTTTGTTGTCTGACTCAATTGCTGGAATTCGATTTCTAATGGTGATTCTGAATCTTTGGCAGGGTATGCACATTGAATGAGATGGAGGGTGAGCAGTGGGGTATGGTGGAGAAGACTGGCACCCAGTTTCTGGTGAAAGGCCTACCGTTCTTCGTAAATGGATTCAATACCTATTGGCTTATGGTCTTCGCCGCCGATCATTCAACAAGGGGAAAGGTCAGCGAGGTCTTCAGGCAGGCGGCAGCAGTCGGGCTTAATGTTTGCCGAACTTGGGCTTTCAATGATGCAGGATGGCGAGCGCTTCAGATTTCTCCTTCGGTATATGATGAGGAGGTGTTCAAGGTAACGAAGATAATATTGCGCACACCATGTGATTGAGAAAATGCCTTAATGAGTGCGTTATGTTATTTGAATGTAGTTGGTAACCTAGCTTGAGTGTGGTGCAATTACCAGGGGCTGGACTTCGTGGTGAGTGAAGCTAGAAGTCATCATATAAGATTGATACTTTCATTCTGTAATAACTGGGAAGACTATGGTGGGAAAGCTCAGTATGTGAAGTGGGGAAAGGAAGCTGGTCTTAATCTTACTTCTGATGATGAGTTCTTCACGGATCCAACTATAAAAGGTTACTATAAAGCTCATGTTGAGGTAATTCTTATTATTTAACATCTTATCAAGATGTCAAATGTAGTTGAAATGCGTTGTAAAACTTAATGTAAAAAATATAAGCAGTAAAGAACAACTAAGAATGAACTCAAATAATTGAAACAATTAACTTAGATAAATATGTAAAATAAGAAATATATATCTTATCATCGAGTTGGGCATGAGCACTACCCTTAATTAGGGCTTTTTTCATCCCTTGAAGATTGTTTCTCAATGTAAAAATTTAAGCGGTGTCAGCCCTCCAATGCAAAATGATGCTTTTCACTCATCATGCACTCTTTGGTGACGATCAAAGCAACACCTTTTCTTAGTTGAAAGAAGCCTCTACTGTTTTTAGTGTTGGTAAAGTTTGGGCACATTAGTCATCTTGAGTCAAACACGATGTCCTATTTAAACTGTAGTAAGCCAACTCAAAAAATTTTCCTTTCGGAAAGATCCTTTGACACTTAGGCTTCTTTTGGGACAGTTTTTTTGCTGCTTTCTAAAACAACTTTTTAATACCAAAAATTCGTGAATTAAAATTTTTTGTACTAGACAGTTGTTTTAGAAAGCAGCAAAAAATTGTCCCAAATGAAACCTTAATTTAGTGATTGGGCTTGAAGGTAAATAATAGAAAAAAGCATAAATTTAATAGAGTTTCTCCTCTAGAATGATGAGTGAGGAGAGGATTCTTTTCCTTGCCCCTTGCGGGTATTAATAAACATTTGGATGAAGGGTTTTTGTTAACATGACAAGGCATCTATGGTTGATGTCACCTCTAAGATCTATGTTGGACCAAAATGCCCCTTGGTTGAGGGTATTTTGGTCCTCCAGTCAATTGAAAGGTAGGGAATCATTCCATGTCATCTTTCAAGTACACGTCATACCATCATATTCCTTTTGATAATGAATAGATCACCAGAGGCTCCAAACCCATTGTTGAAGGTCTAAATCAGACAATCAGATCTAAACCGATAGCTATGAATGATGCTTATGAGGATTCAAATTGGATGGCTAGATTTATGCCAAAACTCAATATTGGTGTTAATGAACATGCGTTTCATGAGGTTCCATTGATAAGTCAAGATGAATTTTGATGGGATCAGACTGTGTTGGAGCCAGCACTATCATCTATTTCTTCCTTCATTGCACGAAGATCATCGGTGCTTGAACTTCGGTGTCCTTCATTGAACAATTATAATTAATTTATGAGAGGTGTTTCACTCCCAAAGAAAAGGAGAAATAGAACCTAATTGCTCCACTTGGGCAGAAATCCCATTTTACACTGAAGGCCTCGTTTTAAGCTTTGCATTCATGCAGCCCACATCCATTATACCCAGAGGAAGCTGGAATTTTCTTGACTAATGGAGGGTTGGAGATAATGGCCGGGTCAAAGCTTATGTGGATGGAAAAACCATGATTAGTGAACTGCTAAATAACACAATTTAATGTGATAAACTTTGCACTTTAGTCTTGAACACAATAATTGAAAGAGTACATTTTGACTTAGAAATATTCATGCACATACAATCATTGCTGTTCAGTTAGTTTTGATTGAATTCTTGTTTTTCTTTAGATACGTGCACACCACTAAAATAACTACTGTTAACAAATATAGCATATTCAATTCAACTTTTAAATGCGCAGCAATTAATCTTATTTGCAGTCTAATATGCAGTATTTTAAATGTTGTTTTTTTGGCCAGAGAGTTCTCACCAGAATCAATACATTCACCAACGTGAAGTATAAGGATGATCCAACAATCTTTGCATGGGAATTGATTAACGAACCACGCTGTCTATTGGATCCTTCAGGTGATACCCTACAGGTTCGTATCTTTTCTCCCCAAATGCTACAACTTGAAGTTAGTGAGTGTTTCATCATTCTTTTATAACTGAACTTTATTTTTTTTTCAGAACTGTGCTTTCTTGTTGTCTGAATATTTTGAATAATAAAGTAAAATATATATGGAGAATTAAAAGATCGAATCACTTATCAACAAAGATATCTGCTCAATAATAAAATATAGAAATGAGTTTCTTAAATGTAATTTAAGAATTAGAAAACAAAGAAATTTCAGGAGAAAAATAAAACACCGTTTGTTGAATAGAACACCATATGTTTCCAAATACAACTTTTATTACCTGCACTATGGAGAAATAGCTAAGATAACAACACTGGATGTTGACGGGGCAGCAGTTTAGATTGTAAATCTGTGGGCTCCAAAAATTCGGCCCCGGCCTCCGCCCACGTTGCTTTTTCTTTTTGGGGAAGTTTTAATGGAATTAAGTTCCAGGGTAAATTTTGGGAAGGCAGATGGGTTTGTAGATAAGACACTACCCAAAGATTTTGCCCTCATTTTGCAAGGACTTTATGATCTGAGTTCTGGTTTCCTATAGGCGAAAACCCCTATAGTTAATTACCCCTCCTGATGATGAGAGAGAACTTTCGATTAAGGTTAGTCGTCAATCATATACATTGTATCTATAGATACGTAGTATCATGTGTATAGTAGCAACACGGGTTTGGATGTGCTAAATTAGGTTTAAATTTGGGAATTTGAAAAGTTTGATATTTAAAATTAGAAATTACACCATCTTGCACTTAAAGCGGATGGTGGAGGAATGGATGATGGACCCGATCAAGATCCCATGTTTCTGTCGTCCCGGGCCATTGTGGTCCCTGGTCTAATTAGTTAGAGGAGGTTGTCGACCATAGGTTGCTTCGTCCAAGGGGACCTTTTAGAGCTGGGGGGAATGTTTATCTAAGGGGGCAAATTCGAATCCACCTTAGCTAACAGAGGGCTCAGTGCCCTATCAATTATATCATATTGATTCATATCTCAATGATTTGATGCCACTAAGAAACGTATTGACTCTGTCATAATCGGTACTTTGTGGTGCCATTTGGTAGTAAAATCACTTGGTTCAGAGGGACCAGGGTCATAACCGTTTATCCCGTGGTGCCATTTAGCGGTAAAATCGTCGATTAGAGGACACGTACTACGTCCTTACTAGCAGGGGATTATTTGAGAATGGATCCTAGTGATATTTTCGACTAGGCATTAGCTCCATGTGAGCTGAAGTAAATTTAAATTTGTTCACCCCTACAAACTGTTGCGAAGGGTGGATGAGTTTTGTGTTTTAAGTGGTTGATGGATTATTTTAATTTTAAATGTTTTGGACTTACATGATTTTTTTTTGGAATTTTAGACTTTGTGGTATTTGGATGACATTTAAATTATTTGAAATTGACCCCTCCGGTTGAGATCTGCATTCAACACGACCATCATCGGGGTGACTTTAAGGTAACTTAAAAATATTTGAATTTTGTGAAAGTTTAAGGACATTTTTGAAATGTTTGAAATTAACCCCTCCGGTTGAGATTTGCATTCAACGCGACAATTATCAGGGTGTTAACGAGCATTTTCACTTATGGGTTTAATCTTGTAGACTCTATTGGGTTGTCGATAGAGGATCAAGTTTCGTAAGCTTTATACCTTTGTGGGTGAACTTTCTTTGTTGAAAGTCTTACAGGCCTAATATGAATGTATTAAAATGAATATCTTGTTTGACCTTGCGACCACATATTTATTTACTGATTTGAGCCTTGTCAACTTCTATTTGTCCGTATAAAAGGTTCGGGCTCGAACTTGGATTCATTTGCCTACCCGTGCAGTATCCCTAAATGTCACGTGTGTACTTATAACACACTCGATGGGGCCCATGCGGGTTTTGTCATTGTACCTACCCCCTTTGTGTTCCTATGTGTATACAAACTACAGTGCATGCGCAAGGGCATTTTGAGATATTTGTAAACGCCTTCTGTCCGCTTGCATGAATGTTACGGATCCGGTGGTGTGTTGCAGCAGCTTCTGGATTGAGTTGTTTGCTGCTTTGTACAGGTAGATTGTCGTGCACTACTTATTACTTTATGCAGATGGATTATAGTGCACTAACGAATCTCCCGCTTTGGATCATAGGAACTTGCACTTGTTGAAGCTCTTATGTATTTTCTCGAGGATAACACTTTATTGATATGATAGGTTCCTTACAGCAGTTTGTAGGTATTTGTATTTGCAACATATCATACGTCTTCACTTGCAGGAGGACGATCTATCTAGTTGCCATTGGATGGTTGTTGATTGTGAGGTGTGATAACATCCGTCACCTATTGCTGGTTATCACTACTATGCCTACGAAGAATCTTCTGTCATCGCTAACAAGTGCTAAGAATTTGTCGTATATTGCATTGTATATGTTTGTAGAGGTACCACATACTTGCATCTTCCTTACTATCATTGCTTGAATGTGACATGTTCATTTGACATTTATAGATCTATTGCATGCATTATGCGTGACGATTCTTCTATAGTCATTCGTGGATAATTCGTATTGTCTTTTACCATATATATTCCTTCGTGCTTATCTGGACCTCACTTAGATCTCATAGTACCTTTCTCTTTCATGGTTTGTGTAAGTGAATATAATAGGGATTACTGCATCTCTCGACATTGTTGCCATGAAGATTATAATCAACTTCAGTTTTCTTATTCAAATGCATTCATTTGTCATTCACAGGGTATTACCACCTTTGCTGCACATATTGTTGGGATTGTTGCAACTTAGTTTTTCGATTGTTGAGATTCATGCAATATGTATTTTTTTGATGATTCCAAATATTATTATTTTTAATTACAGTTTCTCCTAACATATTTTGGATGTATTGCTTTTGTTGTTTGTGTGTACTAATATTTCAAAAAAATCATACTCTAGATTATTGAAGACTTCAAATTTGAATAGATTAGGGTTCATTATAAATGGAGTATGTAATTTTCAATTTATTGAGTCTGAGAGAGTGTGATTATAATTGAGTAACTATACATACACACTGGGGGAGTGTTTAAAATTTGCAAAAAAATTTAAATTGATTGTACTGTACGAATTCATTTCGTACGGGACGATTTATTAAGTTATAAACTCATACGAGCAGTTAAACGAACGAGAGAAGAAAATTTTTCTAAGTATGTTTTGTACTGTACGAAGTGTCCCTTCGTACAGATGATGTCTAGAGTACGAATTGGACGGGTCCCTTTTTGTCCTGATGAATCCCAAAGTTTTTTGAATAGATCGTACTATACGATATCCTGTTCGTACAGACGACATCCGGAGTACGAATTTGATGGATCTCTTTTCGTTCTGACGTATGCCAAATTTTGCTGAACGAATTGTACTGTACGATTTCCTTCTCATACAAACAACATCCAGAGTACGAAAATGTGGGGTACCTTTTCGTCCCGATGAAGCTGAAAAATTTTATAACTGTTTGTACAATACGAACTTGATTTGTACTGGACGATCATCATATACGAAAATATTTCGTACATATTCACAAAAGGTTAGTACGTAATAGTTTTTAAACTATTCGTACGTACGAACATACGATCTTACAAGCTCAAAATGGAAAATTTTAGTTTTTTGGATGATTTTTGTATCTTTCATATAAAAGGTCCTTAGAAACTGACGTAAAAAGTGTTATTCTTCGTGATTTTTCAAGGGCAAGTGAAAGAGTGATTGTGGAGTGTTTGAGAGAGATTTCTTGTAAGTGGAGTGTGAAGGGTTCACAAGGTTAGTCAAAGGTAAGGATATCTTTGTGTTTTTGGTCATTATTCTTCTTTTCTTCTTTCTAGTTACTTGTGAGAAGATATTTGAAGAAGATCTGGTACTCTGCCGATATTTGGAGGGTGTGAAAGGACGACGATACTCTGCTGACACTTGGAGGGTGTGAAAGGACAATGGTTCTCTGCCGACACTTGGAGAGTGTGAACATACGATGGTTCTCTTCCGACACTTGGAGGGTGTGAAAGGATGACGGTTCTATGCCGACACTTGGAGGGTGTGAAAGGACGACTGTTCTCTGCCGCACCGGGGATTAGTGGAAGAGAGAAATTATTGTGGGGGCAAAAGGAGAGTCACTTTGATAATAATACAATACTTGAAGAGGGAGTATTTAGGAAGTGAATGTAGGTCGTGTTTGACCGAACCACTATAAAATTTTGTGTCTTTTTATTTTCTGCAATTTATTTACTGTGGTTGAAAAACTTATTTTAATCTAAAATGAAACTGCCATAAAATTTAAAATGGTTTTCTATTAAAAAATACAAGAGAATTTTTAAATTACCAATTCATCCCCCATCTTGGTTAACCTTGGGACAATTGCTTAGGTTTAACAACCTATACGGAATCAACACATATTCCATATTCATTTGTGAACATTGTGATGTATATATGATGAGTTTTTGCAGTAGCTCGTAGAAACTTGCATCTGCATCCTATTCTCCACCTTTGCTTGTAGGAGGGCAATATGCTTGTTTGAATGAAAGATATATATATCATAATTTGTCATTGTTGTCTCCATGCGGTTTGCAACATTTGTCTATCTTTAATTATGATCAAACTATACATGCCTATACTGGTCATTGCTTGGAGATGAATTAAATCCAATGCTACTAGTGCGTTATCATGCTACAAAAAATTCATGCAATGGCTTCATGACCACATCATATCCTTCACAATCCTTTGTCATTTAGAAGTGATATCATGCTTACAAGAGGGATTGCAACATGTATGTTGAATATGATACCATTGGTCATTAACATTTCCCTTCCATTTGGGGTAATCACTTCATAACCTTATTAATGACCGTGTTGTTGATCATAAGCACATTGTTATATATCTCACTTAATCCTTATTGACATGTTGATTATGTTTGAATATCTTCCTCTATGAGTCCCCTGTGGTCCATCCAAGTCTTTGCTTGAGTTCAACTATTCAAGTCAAGTTTGAATCAAGTTTTTCTTAGTTGAGTTTGATTCTGGTCCCTTGTTCATTTGAGTTTAAATCCACTAGTTCAAGTCATATTCACTTAAAATTCAAATTAAGTTCAAGTTTGAACTCATTAGATTCAAGTATGTTTTGTTAATCATTTGCTTTGTGTCTAAATACAAGTCCATTTCATTGTCCATTTAGATCACCGGTCATTCAAATTGCAGGCTCGAGTCCCCCTGTTGCCTTGTAAAGTTCAAATCTGAGTTTAAATTGAGTTCATATTTTGAGTCCAAGGTAGGGCATTTGGAGTTTAAATTTTTTATGCATTCTATTTAAGTCCCAAAAATTTTATTGATTGTTTGAATTTGAATTAAGTCCATTTGATGTTCCAATCAACGTCCAAATAAAGTCCCATGTTGTTCAAAAGTTTGCAAGTCCTTTATAAATGTCCAAGTCTCATATATCTTCAGTTAGAATTTCGGCAGCCTCCCGGCGTCTCCTTTGTTTAGGTGAAAACTACAGGAGTCTGGGCCTTCCCACCACGCGCAATAAAGGCGTGTATGGTAGGTGTCCTTAGACACTGCGGTCGTGTCTGCATTCCCACAACGCACAATAAAGACATGTATGGGGTCTGTGAGAGTACATGTTTCAAAAGACAGTTGTCTCCCCCCCCCTCAAGGGTACTTACAAGTGGTTCCGCTTTGTCGTAGGCGTGGCACCAGGTTCCCATCTCACCACGTGCACTAAAGGCGTGTATATGCTGTTTTCTGGTGCGCCGCGAATGCCGAAATAGGGTTTTTAGGTGATTACCCGACTCGTCGCAGACACCGCACCGGGGCCCCATCCCACAATGCACAATAAATGAGTGTATGAGCAGTTTTTCGGTGCGCCACGACCTCCGAAAACGGGTTCTCGAGATTTTGAGTTTGAAGGGGTTATACCTGGTGACGTTGGCGACGATGTGAAGGCAACGAAATATACAAACTTCATTTCCACTTCTCTTTTTTTATTCACATTTTCTCTATCTATATTTTTTTTAAACATCTTTTTTTTGTTTTGCTTTTCCTCTCTCATACACGCACACATTCCTATATATATATAGTAAAGATGCAAGCAATTAGCACCACTGACTACTTAGGAATATTGGCAAAATCACTTGCACCAAGCAATGTTAATGAATAATATTGATAATTAAATTAAAAAAGAAATATAATCGTACTGTTTAATGATTTTGGGAAGATAGACTTTGCAAATGGGCTAGAGAGGAGTTGACTTGAATGGGCTCTTGTTGTTTTAAGTGTTGAAGTGTGTTGGGATCACGAGTTTAAGTGGGCTTTGGGCTTTTAGCTAAAGATGATAAGAGAGAAATGCTACAGGCCTTTAGGACTGGACTAAGTCAAGTATAGGGGTATCAATTTTGGTCAACGGGTCGAGTTTGGGTCGAACTCGAAACTGACTCGGCACTATTCGGGTCAACCCGAACCCAACCGTTTTTAAAAATGGGTCAGGTTTTTGGACCTGAACCAGACCGATTCGGGTCCGGATCAACTCGACCCGACATGAATGACCTAGGGTTGACCCAAAATTGCTAGTTTTTCGGTAAAAAATCAGGTCAATCTTCGATTTTCGGGTAAAGAATAGGTTTTCTGGTTAAATACGAGTTTTCGTGTCAATTTCAGATCAATTTCGGTTTCTGGGTCAACTCGAACCCGACCCGTTTTGGGTCCGGGTTGACCATAACCTGAATTTTTCCGGATCGGATTCGGGTCGGGTTTCGGGTCATGTCAAAAAATTGACACCCCTAATCATTTGCTTCACCATTCACTTTAAGTTGAAGGTGGCAAATTTCCCAGCCTTGGGATGGAAATAACGGCTCTCGTGCAATTTGGAGTTTCTGTTCTGCTTTTAATTTTCACACCCAATCATTCTAAGAACATTTTCTAAATTTCATCTGCATAGAGCGCAATATTTATATTTTATTTCATACAAATCTTGTCCGCAAGTAGTACACATGCAGTTCCTTGACTGTTTTCTTTGAAAACGAAGACATGGATAGAAGAGATGGCACAATTTGTCAAGTCTGTCGATCCAATTCATCTTCTAGAGATTGGCGTAGAAGGTTTTTATGGCCCATCAACACCAGAGAAGCTGCAACAAAACCCCAAATCTTACATGGGAGAAGTTGGAACTGACTTTATAAGAAACCATCAAACCCCAGGCATTGACTTTGCTTCAGTTCACATCTACTCAGATACTTGGTAAATCTCCATCTGTTACTAAAATCCTGTACTTCATAGATTACTAAACAAACCGTTAATTTATCCATAAAATTGCATGAAAGGCTACCAGATTCTTTCTCTGATGAACATTTCGACTTCGTCGAAAGCTGGATGCAAGATCACATGGATGATGCTGAGAAGTTATTAAACATGCCGGTTGTATTTGGAGAATTCGGTGTTTCTTTGAAGGATGAAAGGTTTACTACAGAGTTTAGAGAAGCTTTCATTGGTAGAGTACACAAAATGCTGTTGATGTCAAAAAAAAGAGGGGGAAGTGGGGGAGGAAGCCTACTGTGGCAACTTTTCCCTGAGGGGACAGAGCACATGGATGATGGATATGCTGTAGTTTTAGCAAAATCTCCGACGACATCGAATGTGCTATCCCTCCATGCTACAAAGCTTCGGAAGGTGAACTCAGAATCACCTTGGAAGAATGTCAGTAGTGAGGATGATGACCTTTCTCATGATGAACTTTAGTTAAAGTGATAGATTGTATACAATGAAACTATATGTAATGTATGCTATTAAAATTTATGATGTCAATTATTGTCATATTTACAATATGGACGTTTATAGTGATGTTTGTTGACTTCATTTATTTGAAATCAAGTTGGTTGAGTAACTCGATTTAATTAAGTTGAATGAATTCACTATATTGAGTACAATCGAGTCGAATTTGATTCAGCTGAGTTAAAAAGAGTTGAATTTAAATTGAATCAAGTCGAATTTGATTTAATTGAGTTGAATCGAGTTGAATTTGAGTTAATTGAGTCGAGTCGATTCAAATTTGAGTTACTTGAGTCGAGTCGATTCAAATTTGATTTAATTGAGTTGAATTTGACTATAGTTAAGTATGGTATATAATATTCCAAGATTTAAATTTGGAAGAATTATCAAAATTTTATCTCTTAATTAATTTACCAAAATCATTGAATGTTTAGCATTTTAAATAAATATAACAAAAACAACTATAAATCATATAAATCAAAATATTTATATATTCATTCTTTCAAAATGTAATGTACAATAACCACGAGATTTCAATAATATCAATCTATGATTTTTTAAAACTCTCACCTACAAAAGAATAGAGTAAACCAAAGAAATAAAAAAAAGACTTGAAAATGCATCCTCAATCCAGAGAGTCATGACCCCTTCTCAAACTTTAAAACAAGAAAAATCACATAATGAGCTTACAAAGCTAGCAAGTAACCGTAACTTATCACTGCCTTCAATATAAGATAGAAGATTTAGTATACTTGCTATAGTTCTAATCAATAAGCTATCAATATGAATGATAAATAATCTTTGCAATCAATATCAATCAATCATAAAAATCAATATGATCAGTACAACAAGAGTATATAACTAAGCAAAAAACGTCTATCAATCTATAAGAAAATAAAAAAAAAAGTTTATAAATCTATAACATGTGTTACAGTAAAATAAACATCAATTATGTATCAATTATATTCATGCTAATGATTCTATTATATGTTTCTATCAATTATTATGTCATGTATAAATTGTCTATCAATATGCTATATCAAATTATGTAAATGTAATTATGAATATAATTATAAAAAGCAAGGCATGACATACAACTTTAATGTGGTGTTTTTATCCTTATATCTATTATTTGTCATATTTATCCATATGTCAATATTATTTTATCTTTGATTTATTTCTGTTAATAATTTATTTTCACAGGTGATTTTAAATAATTATGTAAGAGTTGTCACTACTCGTTGGCATAATTCGGTCAATCAATTACAAGCTATAACCAGGATTACACAACAAACCTTTTATTTAAAAGAAAGCCTGTTGGCCCATCCTCCTGCACATGATATTATATTTTAATAGCTAACCAATATTAATTATAGTATGCAATGTGAGTCAACATCCTTTATGAAAATATAATAATTAAAAAAAAGGGAAAATCTACAAAATTTGTTTACTATGCATTTATTTCTGAAAATCACAACTTCCAATTTACTAGATGAAATCTGATAATATTATAATCAAAATACTCGAGAGGATCATATCTATCATATACAAAAAAGTTATACTGTAAAAGTGTTAAAAATCAAGGTATCATAACTTTTGCAAAATTTGTTAAATTTAAAATTCATAAAATATAAAATATATAAAATAATTGAAATCAGAGATAGGGTGATGATTATCTACCGTTAGACGAGCAAATTTCTCAGCTGGTCTAATCGACAAAAATGACATAAATAGCTAAGCAAATTTCTCAGCTATTTATACTAAATAGCTGCTTTAGAAAGCAATAAGAAAATTATCCTAAACGATGTCTTTACTTTATTTCTCGAAGGAGACTTGTCCTTGATATTCTACCTTATCATTTCATATTTCATAAATATGGAGACTTTTTGAAATAGCATGCTTTCACTTTGTATTGATGCATTATCGAGTTCAAGGAGGCAAATCATTTATACTAGTGAGAACACGTGGTACTATTTTACTGGCGTCCGAACGTACAACTACGTCAGATGACCGGACCAAATAAAAGTTCATAATTCTAAGCTAAAATAATAAAATTCTCTCTACCAACATGACTTCTAAGACACAAACAAAAATAAAAATAATAATAATTACTTTTTCGAATTTAAAACTATGCCTTCCTCTATCTCTAATTGGTCTTGATACTGTGTAACCAAAGGTGGTGCAATACTTTTTGATGATATTTCATCTTTGCCCTTAATGTTTGACGCCCTAATAGTTTGTGGAGCTTTGATGATGGAGGTGCTGCGTATTTTTTTAATTTAATAAAATATACTATAATTTTCATTAAATTAAATAAATTCTTAGTTTTGGAAACATAATTACTCAATTGCCAACTTTGAAAGAATAGAGAAAGAGTTGAAATATAATAAGTTTTTTTTTTTTAATTTTCTGAATATATATATATAATTTTACGAACAGATATGCAATTTGTTTTGTTTGAAATTTAAACCTCTTTGTAAGCAGATGCGGTTTACTTCTTTAGCGTCTAAACTTTAAATTAGGCTAATTTAGAATAGTCGCAGCTCTTTTTTAGTGAAGTCAAAAGCATGATCATAAATATATAATTTTAAAAAAAAACAAGAAAAGAGTTGTTCTTTCTTAGAAATTTCTCTCTTGTCGACCCCGTCGATGTTGTGGATAAAGGCTTAAGAAAGTCATGCTGCTCTGTATTACTCTAACATATGATAATGTATTTAGTTCATCATGATTTGTTGGTTGAGAATTTTGATTATCAATTAAAAAATTTTGGATTCAAATTTTGCTGATATGATGTGTATATGAATTTATCTTAATTAATCTAAATAAAAAAAATGGTAACTTGACATAAGCTGGATTGCTAGTCAAGTCTTTTTGTCTTGCCACGAAATGCTTCTTGATAACCAGTCAAAAAAGTACCTTGGAAATTAAACCAAAGGTTAGCTCGGTTAACATAATAAATATATATTGCTTTGTAAGTTCAACTTAAGTGGATGACTCAATAAGGGCAAGATTCATTGACAAACGAACGGTTTTCTTACTGTTTATTAAAGCAGCTTTTTATACTAAAAAAATTGTTTGAAGAAGCAACAAAAAAGTTATCCCAAACGAAGCTTTAGTAAGCAAAATTTGAAAGATTTTTGCGGCGACGAGACATTTTTTTAAACTCAAAGAGATAGTTTCACATGGCGTGGAAGTTAGCAGGATTTGAGCATAATTTCAAATAAAAGTGAAAGAAATGACTTAACCAAAATTTTTATAATTTACATAATCACGTTAGAATTTAAAAGTAAACTACTATATCATACATAAATACATATGACTTTATAATCAAATATGGACAGCGAGAGTCATCACCATTGGAGTAATCTTAAGAGTATAACCTTCCGTCTTCATGTTGATTGCAAATCATAAGCTCTTATTCAGCAAACCAATCTTCCTGGCAAAGTACATCAGAAGGGTAACTATAATAATGGTTATACAGACCAGTAATTTGGAATCTAATTTATGAACAAATTTTAGTTAGGATGATTTTATATCTATCAAATTTATTTTGAGATGAGTATAACATAACATAAATCTAATGGGTATAAAATTCTCCTTGTAAAAAAATCATAAGAACATCCTAATCATAAGTTTTTTTCCAATTTGAGAGTCCTTTTATGGAGAGATTATTCTGTGCGGAGAGCGGACGTAGAACACCGTCCGGAGACCAACCAGAATTCACCACGTCAGCGGTACCGAGCTGCAGTACCGAGTACAACGTGACGTGGCACATTCTGATTGGTCTCTGAATGACGTTTGACATCCGCACAGAATAATTCCACCATTTTATGAGATGCATGAGGCTCCTACATCTTAAGGCCAGAGATGAGATACTTTTACATAGTTTCACTCCTCCATCCCTAGTCGAGCGGCCATTTCCAAAATTTACATGACCTACACATCGCAATTGAACAACAAAATTGTCCTGATAAGACCACTCCTCCTAGACTTGTAATCTTTTTTTCCCCCTTGAAGAAATGAATTGCAGGGAATAATATTTTTGAAAACAATAAGTAACAGATCATGCAATGGAAAACATTTCTTCTAGGTGTTGCTGATTCAGAGAAAAAAATTCAATTATCGAGCTTGAAAAAATAAGTTATTAATATGCAACAGCTACATGGTTAATAGTGGTATATGGAAACATGAAGAAAAATCAAATTAATTTAATAAGAACACAGATTTGCTAACTAGCAATTGACACAAAGCCAATTAGTAGCGTCATGACTCGTGAAGCACCGAGTTTTAGCCAATTGTAAAGAGTTGTTTATGCGTGGAGCTTTGGTTTTTATAAAGCTATCCATTGAAATCTCTAATATAATCATTCAAGTTATGAAAAACCTTTAATTAGGTTGCAGTTTGTTCTACCAGTCCATTTGGAGTTTTGTAAAGAGAATAAATATATCCACAGCCAAAAAATATGCATCAGAGGTGAGAAAATCGTGCAAAATAGCTTAGTTGAAACTTTCACTGTCAAGTTTAGTTCAATAAAGGATACACGTATCCTGCGTTGAATAGGAATAAAAGAGCACTCTCAAGGACCTAGTTTTATAAGTGAACAAGTGGTTTGGACGCTTCAAGAAATTTTTGGTTATATATATTTATATAAAAATAAGATAGTAAGGCAATAAATTAGATGATATTTTGATACTAGTACAGAAACATAACAAAAATGGCTAGTATGGGAAACTTACCAGATATATAAACAACTTCATTATTTTTTCAAACTCAATTTGGATAATACTGCAGCAGCCTGATCTCCACCCAACAAGAAGTATGGATGCCTTAGGGCAGCAGCTGCAGAGAGCCGGCCTCTTCTAAGAAAGCCTCTCTCTGAAACAAGCTTGGTTGCTAAGTCCCAACCTCTACCTGAATCTAGATCTAGAATGCGCAGATCCGGCCTTGAACGAGTGACTTCCCTCCACGAATTCAAATCATAGTCAACTCCCTTTAGTTCTGAATTAAAGTTCTTCAGAGCAGCAGTAGATCTTAAACCTGGGACTGCCATTTGCATAAGTATTATACCAGCTGAGTACATATCAAAAAGATCGGGACTATTAAGCTGCAGCAATAAAAACATATGAAATGTTAATAAAAAAAAAAAAGTAAAACAAACTATTTATTCAAGGGAAAGTTGTTCTCATGACGAGGACATTTGTTTTTTTTTTTTTCTTTTAGATGTAAATGAGCTTGAAAAAAACCAGAACTAGAACAAACCTGCCACAGAACTGGAGAAAAGATGGCTGCAATAGGTTCAGGAGGAGGAGTTGGAGTTTCTTCTGGAAGAACAAATAATTCAGGAGGACAATAATCTGGGTCAAGTAACCCACTATCAGGTATGTAGTTCTTGCCAATGCGAAGGTCGGTTGCAGCGCCAAAATCTATGAGTTTGATCTGTCCCTTTTTTGTCACCACCAAATTGGCTGGTTTGATATCACGATGCACAATTCCAGTATTATGGATTCTTTTAAGAGAAGTGATAATCTGCCGCATTATCTGTTTAATAATCAATGCACTTCTTTTGATTGGGTCGAGTCCTTCAAGGATGCGTCTGAACATGATTGACTCCAGGTTGAATGGGAAATTGCGATTGTTCAAATAGCTTGCCAGATTTCTGTCACCCTAAATGGTGTGATTTCTTGTGAGCAACTTTGAGAGAAAAAAAAAAAAAACATTTGAGAAGGATGATTCTATTTAAAAAAAAAAAGCTTTTCAGATGAAGGTTAATGACCATTTGATTAATATGGACCCTTTGTTAAAAGGTAGTTAAAAACAGGTGGTAGAAACTAAACATTAAGAAAAGCAAAGAGGGCCATCAGTACTAGATGATAAACTGGTGAAAACATTTGAGAACAAAATCTGTAAAATGATTTCTTCTATAATTCTGTGAAGATTAGGGTTAGTCAAGATGATCCTTATTTGCCACCAGAATATGGTAACAGATCTCAAATATTGTGATATCATAAATAATTACCGAAGGCCTGTATGATTGAAAATAGGCAAATGATTCTACAACCCTTAACCAAGTTTAGCTGCAGTCTTTAGTGCCTGTTCCTGCAACAGGCATACGATGCATTGACAAGGCGTTAACGAAGAATCAGTATTGAGACATCATACATTTTCTTTGACATATGATATGTTTCCCTAAATCAACGGACCTTAGAATGAAAACATTATTACTATTATTTACGTCACACAGCTATGGTCATTTTTATCATTATGCATTTTCCTTCCTACTATATCACCTTTCAATCTTTCATAGTGTAGCAAGGCTGTCCAAAATTTACTGTCCTACTCTCAAAATTTTAAAATTGCCACAATTTTGCACTAAAATTAAAAATCAATCAAAGAATGGACGGGTACAAAACAACCTCATTTTCGTTTAAATTCCCCATTCATAGCTTCACTTAATTCTACTCAGCTTCCTTGGATATTTAGAATGCATAGAATCACCACGACTGTCACCTCCACACAACAACAACATCAAGCCTTTATCCCACTACATGGGGTCGGCTATATGAATCATTTTTCTCCATTGTGTCTAGTTAAGAGTCAAATTCTCATTTAAATCTAAAAAAGAAAGGTCATTTCTAATATTTTCTAACCAAGTCTTTTTAGGTCTCTCTCTCTCTCTCTTAACATAAGCCAAATTTAATACATCTACTCTCCTAACCGGGTCATCAGAAGGTTGCCGTTTTAGGCGACCAAACCATGTAAGACGACACTCTCTAATCTTATCTTCCACCGGAGCTACTCCAACCTTCTTCACGTATATGCTCATTTCATATCTTGTTTCAAAAAGTAAAGCCAGTGATCCACCTGAGCATCCCCATCTTTACAACACTTAACTTAATATTATGCTTCTCTTAACACAGTTGTTGCTAGGTCCCAAGTTCTAGATGAAAAAAGTAGAGGGTTGAGTTAGGTAGTCACCAGCGTAAAACTTGTCGAATAATCATGACAATACATAAAATCATCAATAAAACAATATCTTAGTGTAATTTTGTTTAAATAAAGTAACATAAAGCCGTGTAATAATCAAACCTAATATGCTTGATACACATGTTCATACTCATTTCTTTAAGACTTGCGTATGTTTATTTACTTGGATAATTGAACAAATTTAAACATGATTTATGAAGCTCTACATATAGATGGACAAGCATGAATATTACCCTGATTATTTATTTATATTTATGGCCATATTCTTTTATTGTTAAACAAGTAGCTTATAAGAGTTTGAACATGCAATGTTATTGAGTAGCATTATTAATGGTTCACTTCAAAATATTCACAAAAACTATTTACAATAGGCTTAATTCTATTGTTGGGAGGTTTAAGGTTGAAACTTATCAATTCATATATCGGTGCTTTTCCTCTTTACCACTCTTAAATTTGGATTTCAAACTGGGGTGTAAAAATGACTCAATCAAAAAGCATTTCTTTTGGAAGTTGAGAGGAGTATTCATCTTCCAAGTTGTAGCAAAATTTGTAGACTAAAGATATCTAGGGATTTTGGTGCGCCTAATTTATGATCTTTCTTTATCGTCAAATTGGGTTCGCAAATCTATCCATATTGAAAACTCTTCTTTTGCTTGTAAAGTTATCAAGGCAAAATATTTCAAGGATAAATATCCTCTCAATCTTTGGGACATGAAGAGTTGGGAGTGTGCAAGCAACATCAAAGGGGTTAGGAGAATCATTCCACCTTTCTTAGTTAACATTTCCTAGAATGTTAATAACGATTGCTCAATTAGACATTGGAAAGATAAATGGCTTCAAGACATTCTTTTATTTATTATTTTAAAAGATCACTTATGGATAGATTGGAACTTTGAATGCAAAGTCAAATCCCAATTGGCTCCTAAAAAATGGCTAGGTAATTCAGGAACACAACATTATTTGTATTTCATTGCAGAATGATTTGAATGATTTATATTCTCATCTTCATTTGGTTAACCTTCTTCATACCATTCCCTTATTAATTGTAGAATTATCACTACTAGCAATGCATGGATCTAGAAGTTAATTTCTCCTTTATAGGTTTCGACTTTGGCTTGGCTTGTTTTTCTCAAACAAATTCCAAGCAAATCTTACATATATAAGTTGAATAGCACAACTTCTTTGATCTGCGATATTTGCCATTCATATCCTGAAATAACATCTTACATCTCAAATTGCAATGCTAATCTCTAGACAACACTTTATAAGCTTCTTGGCATCAAAATTGTTGTTGACTACTTCCATCTTCACTTATCCGAGAGGTATTCATATTCTTACTGCCTTTATATCTACTTGAGATACTTTTTTCCTTTCTGCTCTATAGACTATTCGGCAAGATGGGCATGTGCAGGTCTCTCAAGGAATATGGAAAAAGTTATTTGGTGTAACATCATCTCATTGGCCTACTTCTGAATTTATATTTTCAGGGGGAAAAGTCTGAAATCATTAAAGACAATAATAGGAATTTAGACTTTACGGATAATCCTAAGGAACTTTTTTTTAAATCTGTGTAAACTCTTTCTTTTGTTGTCTATGTTGCGTACTATTCCTATCCTGTAATCAACTCTTGTAACATTTTTTTTTTTTTTAAACTTCACTAATTTAACAAGAAAGGTTTTAGTCCCAAACTTTTTCATAAAAAGGGTTCATTTCATATTTTGGTATTCAAGCTATTTATTTTCTTTCTTATGCATCTTAACTATTAATAGATGTATTAAAATGATGAAAGCTTGTGTTGAGCAAATAGGTAAATAAATTAGCTTAATTTTAGTTTTGTCATTAGTGCTTGAATTTCAAAAAATAAATAAATACAAAAATAATTGCATTAATTTTCATGAATGGAGTGAATAGGCTCATTTTTGTGATGAGAATGTGATTATATGGTTAAATTATTAGAATCTAACGTATTTAGTTAGGCTCACCTAAAACTTGATTGACTTGTTTCGAAAACTCTGTTCATCTTCAAGCTTAACTCAAAAGCCCAATAATAACTACAAAAAAATGGCTTGAACATAGCAGTAATCAGCTTATAGATTGTTTACAACCATAATTACATGAGTCAAGGCTAGCGAAAAGAATACTTTGAGGCCACAAGAAAAAATAGTACATGACATGGTTTCTTGTTCTTGAAATTTACATGGTGTGTTATTAATGTATAACAGACCTTCATACCTCAAATTTCCATACAAGCCATTTGCCACCTTTTGTAAACTCTAGACGAGTTTGTTCAGCAACAAAACTTCCAAGGAACTCAGCACAAGATTGGGGGGCTGCTCTAGAGACCCTGTAGTTAAACCACTCCTCATAGTCACCAAATTCTTCTGCTCCTTTAGTTCCCACCTTCACCTGTAAGAACAAACCACAGTAAAGTTTTGACCACAAGCATTCCTCTCTACCCTAAACTGCGCATGTAAACTAATCATTTCAGCGAAACAATCTTTTGGTATTCCAAATGCTGCAATTACGGAAATGAAAGCCATAAAGTGCAAAAAATTGATAATCAGAAAAGTTAAAAAAATAAACAAATTAAATTCAGAAAGAAACACAATTACGATCACGAGTAACTAGAAAGATATGCACAAGAGCTGTTGAAATGGCGCAAAATATGAAAAGCAATAGCAAAGCTTAATTGTGAGCTTGCCTTCTTCAAGATAACTCTATCCTTGAACCTGTCATCATTCTCCAATCGTGTCTTAGCCTTCCCCACCCTTTCTTCCACAGAAAAATTCTTGGGCACAATGGCGCCGGAATAGACTATGCCAAACGATCCTTCCCCCAATCTCTCCCCCACAACAAAATCACTCATCTTCAAGTTCCTCCTACCTATCAAACTGTCGAAAACTAACTGCAAGGGCGCCAGAATGTAAGCGTCAATAGCGCCCATTAGTACTCCCGGCCTCACGGTCAAGTAAATCCAACCAAGTCCGGTGGCCGTAAGGATGGCCCACCGCCCGTTTTCCGGCAACCCGGAAGTGACTTGCTCGAACTGGGAGAGACCAAACTTGAGAAAAGGAAACAAGGGATTGGAATCGTCTACATTGAGAGCGTTTTGAAAGAAATCTCTGGGGATTTCGCCGAATAAAGCAGTGCACTTCGATGAGCTTCTTCTAGTTGGAGTGAAGGTGGTTAAGGAGTTGGGAAGTGGACACGAAAGCCATGGAACTGAGAGGGTTTTCTGAAGCGATGTTGTCGTCGGACGGAGAATGGAAGCCATGCTCGAGGTTTCGGAGATCCTCGAGAGGGAAGGGCGTTAAAAGTATCAGGAGAGGCCAGTCCTCGGCCGCGTGGAGGTAAGAGGGTTTATCCATGAATCAATTTTGTGTGGATTTCCTGGGAGAAATCAAAATCTTTTTTTTTGCATTTTTTATTTTTATTTTTTGAAATTTAAATACCGAATTACAAATTCGATAAATTCAAAGCCTGATAATAATATATATGATTTTTTTATTAATTACTTTAATTTGACAATTAAAATGCATTTATAATATGGTAATTAATTTTAATAAATATATTTAAATAGTTTAAATTTATTTTAACTTTTATGAATAATTAATTAAAAGTTATTTTATATTAAAATAATAAAAAAAATATTTAATAATAATAATAATATTATTATTATTTGGAACAGGGTATTCACCTACTATCAGACTATCACCCCCGAAAGGGCGGTTTGACAAATTCTCGGCTGACCTAGAAGAGGCACACACCCCAAAAACCTCATAGCCCGCACTTGATCTCCTGACCCGCACTTGATTGGGCCCCCACTTAAAGATGCTGCCGCTCGAGAAGAATCCAGCACAGGTTGGGGGTTCCCAACCGTACTCGCCTACCAGCCAAGATAAGCATCAACGGGTTTATTTATTATTTTTAATTACATTTTACAAAAAAATTGATTTTTCAAGAGCAAAATATTCAACATCGGACGAACTTAAAACAAAACCCTAAACAACAATTAACTGTATCTTTATGTGTGGGCGGGTGTTCCGCACGTTCTTCTCAGGTAAATTATAGGCTCGCACTAATTACCTGTGGGCCCATCTATTTATAATTTTTTTATTTTGAATTATGAAATTAATATTAAATTACTTTAGTTTTTTTCCAAAATTCTAAACACATAATTAAATATTTTTTAAATTTTAAATATATTTTGTGAAATGATCATTGTTTTGAAAACCGGACCGGACCGGCCGGTTCGATCGGTTCAATCGTGAACCGGTCTTATGACCGGTTTGGTCATCTTGAAGAATCGGCCTAGCAACGAATCGGTCAAAATCGGTTTGAACCGCTGTTCAACCGGCAAACCGTTGAACCGGTCCCATTTCTTAAGAACCGGTCAATTCAACTAATAATATATTTAAATATTTTAATTTAATATAAAATGTTTAATTAAATATTAAATTAATTTAAATATCATATATTTTATTTAACAATACAATTTCAAAATTTTAACTGTATTGTATATTAAATTAAATATAAATAATCTTGATCATATGATGCCATAATATCATGTAAGCTTCTAACCCATGGGTACAAGAAAAGGTATATAAACAACTCAAAATAAAACTCAAAATTATTTATATTTATATTTAAAATATAAGTAATAACATTAATATAATAATTATTTATATTTAATTTTAAAATTATGTAATATATTACATATGTATGAATTTTATTTATTTTTTAGTCTCAAAATTTATCGGAAAAACAACGATAAAATAATGACCATAAGTTGTCCTAAACAAAGATTAATTTTATACTAAAACTGCTTTCAGAAGTACTAAGACAGCCGTCCCAAACCAGCTTTAAGTTATCTATATCGAGATGCATTGAATTTTAAGAGAATTTACACTTATGCTAATTTTTTTAATTATTTATATGTCCACCATCTAAATATTTATATTTATATATATAACTCCCAAAATTTAAATCTTATTAACAGTATCACTAACATTCTCTTATCAAAAGTGAAATACATTTTCTAATTATGCACATATTTTGATATGAATTAGATGTTTGATAAATAAATATAATAATTTAGATGTTGATTGGATATATAAATTTTTAAGAATTTTTCGTTATGTATATAAATGCCCCTTGATTTTATCATAGTTATTTTATTTTTAATCTTTCTGAAAAGAAAAAAAATATTAGATTTTATTTTACATAATAAGTTAATAACACAAGTAAACCAAAAATAAAATAAAATTTACAAAATAAAATAAAATAAAAGCACTTCAAAATGGCACTTACATGTTTACATTTGTTTTTCAATGATTTAAATCATTTAATTATATTCAAGTAATAGCTGTAATACATTATTTATATAATGGTATTATCTTTCATGTATAACATATTTGATTTACTATTATTTCATATATATATATATAATTCAATTTTATTGATTTCAGTGATTTCTAATTTCACTAAAATTATGTTTGGAACAGCTTTCTTACTATTTTTTAAATATTAAAGTAGATTTTTAATTCAAATTTTTTTAGTTTAAAAATTTTGATGTAAAAAAAAATCCGTTTAAAGTAGTGATAAGAAAGCCGTCAAGCTTAAAAGAGGTTAAAATAGTATCTAAGAGTCAGGAAGATTCAGGTCCTATATCTACTTCATAAGCTAAAAAATAAATGGGTTAGATAGGTCATATTTTGATTATTAAGGTTTGACTTCAGGTTTAGGCTGTCATCACCATCTTATATAATACTAAATAAAATAAATTAACATTTACTAGATATCAAATATATTTTTATTTTATATAAATAAATAAAAGAAAAATAAAATTAAAAATAATTTAAATTATCCCAAACAACCCCTTAAATATCTATAAAAATAAAAGTAATGATATAGCGGCAAATTAAGGCTTCGTTTGGGACAGCTTTTTTATTGCTTTCTAAAATGGAGTTTTAGTACAAAAATAAAAAAAAATTGTACTAAAACTCCGTTTTAGAAAGCAATAAAAAAACCGTCCCAAACGAACCCTAAGTCTGTGTTTGGGGCAGCTTTCTATGGCTTCTTAAAGTAGTTTTTTAATAAAAAAATTAAAAATTTTGTGCTACCTTGATGCAACTTTATCTAGGGGTGTTAGCTTGATTATTCTCTTAGTAGCAAGGGAGGTTGGACTACTAGAAAGAGGAAAGTCAAATGTTAGATACCAATGATTCATGAAAGACTAATGTGCGTCATTAGTAGGTATCATGCAAAAGCAAAAGGGAAATATCGGAGGTCTCAAGAGAGTAGACGATTAGCTTGATCATTTATATGATAGGAGGGGCGTCGAGTAACCATATGTTAAGGGATATCAAATATTGGAGTAGTTAAGTGATTGTCAAATGGGGAGTATCGAAATTCAAGCAAGAATTAGTGTTGGTTGATGAATTATAAGGGGAGTCAATTTCTTTGACGACTAAATAATTGGTTGGATCATTATGCTAATAGAAGGGAAGACCGAGATATCTTAAAGATAGACATCATATGTTGTGGCTAATGAAAGTTTGATGTTTGACATTGGTAGACATTTGACAAGAGTTGATGAGGCAAATCAAAATTCAAGTAATGGAGGGTGATAAACTTCCTTGTTTTTATAATATGATGTAGTATTATCTGATAACAAAAAATACATTAGGTTAAAACATATATGAAATGAAGGGAAGTATCAAAATTCAGATAATGGTGGGCAATCTGTTTGACCATTCTCTTGATAGAAATATGATTGGATGGCGAGAAAAACAAACATTAGTAAATAACAAGCATTAGTGGTTGACGAACATTACTTGTTGCAATGTATTGAAAAATAATTGATGAAAAGTATTAGAATTTTGGTAATGTTAAGAAATACAACTGGTTGCTCTCTTGATTCAATAAGAGAATATACAGATGAACGTGAGTAAAATCATCAGAATGATAAATGTTGGAAAATAGGTTATAACAGAAGGTTGACTAAAATATTCTCAAGATCTGAAAGGAGACATAGATTGAAAATATGAGCATTGAATGTTGGTAAGTAATGGACATTAAACATTAAATTTTTATATACATGAGAAGATAATAATAAGTGGTTGACTTGGTCGCTCACCTAATAGGAGGTGTAAATACAAATCATTTCTTAAAGACTTAATGCAATATTCGTTGACCATGTGTTCACATAAATAATAATAGGATAATATTGAATATTGGTATGACGTAATCACCTTAGTAAGAAAATTAGTTATTTAAAGTGTACTTAGTGTCATATTGAGATCCACTCTCTAAGATTTATCTCAGACTTGTAAATTACTTTTAGATGGTCTTCTTGAGGAACAATTATTAGGTCCGGTGACCGGTCGTAGCTCTACGTCCGGTCACCATTGAGTTACCCGGTATTTGCTCGGTATTTGCTCGGTATTGCTTGGCAATAACGAGAAATACCACTATGTGAAGATCAATACCGAGTAATACCGAGCAATACTGAGTAACACCAAGTTTTTCTAGAAAAAACTCGGTATTGCTCGGTGTTGCTCAGTATTACTCGGTATTTATCTTCACATAATGGTATTTTTCGTTATTGTCGAGCAAAATCGACAAATACGTGATTTTGTGTCTACTACGTGGCGCGATTTAGTGCCGGCCGAAAGTAGCTCTACATTCTTTCACCGGACCAAATAAAAGTTCCTTTTTGAGAGATCCAATTATGAATCATCTTAGATACTCTCTGCTAAACTCAGAAATCGTTCAAATCAACTTAAACTAACAAATAAGTTTCCCACCCAATATATTATTTCTAAATCACAAATCTTTCTCATCATGACGCTTGCACAACTTCTCACAAGCATAGCAAGCATTTATCCTCCTATGCTTTCTATCGTTAGTGCTCATCCCAATTTCTGAAATTAGCGACTTTAGTATAAGTATTCTCTTTAATGGCCACAATAACATTCTCCATCCCACCCTTTTACAGTGTCTTTTTTCGCTGTTTTTTCTCACTCGTAGAATGACACAAAATTATTTTTGTGCTCTTTGTTGTAATTTCTCTGTGTTATAACACTCTCTTCTCTTATATTCTCAATATTTCTTAGCACTTATGGGAACACCGTCTAAATTATATAGGATATCTCCAGGGGCGAATCCAACTTCCTTTTTCAGGGTGGAGGAAAAAAAAAATATTGTGGAGGATGAGCAAAGATGTCTAGGAGAGATAAAATTAGGGCAATACTCAAAATATTTCAAAAAATCTCCTATAAATATTTTCTTTTTAGGGTAGGCATTTGCCCACCCTAAGACCATGATGGATCTGCCCATGGATATCTCGAT